ATGGTATGAGATACCCCTGCACTTGAATGGTATGGACTTTTGAGCAAGTGGGACTTGATCTACAAACTAAGAAACTTCCGTCGTGTTTAGGTTTCGACGAACTAATAATTTCGATTAACCACAGCTTATCCGATTTGTTACATGTTTTTTACTCCTTAGATTCCCGGCAGGGTCTTAGGTAGCAAAGATCTAGTTGTTCCTTATAAGGCTTTCTTACTCGTGTAAGTAATATATCTCCTTTTTAAATTGTAGTTCAAACACTAGGGTTGTTCGCTCTTCGATAGACGTCTAGCCCACAGTTTTGAGGGAAATAATATTGACTGTAAGTAAGGCTTGCATATAGAGCTCGGTACGTTTCGAAAAATTACCAGGTATTAACCGTAGATAGGTAATCTAGACGGGCAAGCTTATTTAAATAAGTGTAGGCTTCAGCTATAAAATTTCAGTTAAAAAATCTGCGAATCCAAGCGAATATGTGTTACTTCGGAGCTCCTATAGATGATACACTAGGAATTTCTTGTCCCGATCAAAATGTATCACACCATCAAGACTACCCCCATAAATTCTCACATGGCCAGCCACTAACAGCGTATTCCAGTGACAACAGGAAGGTCCATGGTTCTTTCTAACAGTTTAAAGGTCGAGCGTCATTGTCAATCGCTGCTGGCAGAAGAACCATACAATTATTGGTAAATATGATGCAATATGTCACATATTAGCGGTGGTTTATTCCGCATGACATCAACTGGATACCTGCGAACCCTGATTGGTGTCAACAACAAAATGCCATGCATTTTCGCTAGCCTCTTTATGATCTACAGATCATAGAGCATTCTATTTCTAGCACTGTCGCAAATTTGATATATGTCAGCGCGTTGGTGCGACAATGCCAGCATCCCGAATTTCACAGGTGCAGTGGGCAAGGAAACTAGAATTCGCATCTTCAATAGTTTATCCAGGTCAGTATTTGCCGGTACTCATTAACCACAGCAAGTATTCAGCCCTTGTCGGGAGAAGTATCGGCAATATTCTTTAAAAGAAATTTATTATTTAAGAACTGCTTAGGCGAAGGAGGACAAGATCCCTTCTGGATGACCCTAAAAGCAAAATGGAATGTTTTTGTCTAATTCTCTTACATCGCGTGCGACCAACTCGTTTAATGAGGGCACTCGCATGTCCGATGTGTCCGTGTTGCAAAGTTCTTAATCGTCAATGTTGAATTACGTACCAACATTAAGTCGAAAGAAGAAAAATTATAACAGAAAAATCTCGCTATATGATAAGTTCAAAACCTTACATTGTTACAGAATTAATTCTGAATAAACTTGATTAACGCTACAAAACATCACGTCTATCCTGTCAGCTGTCAAGGTTCCTTGAGAAAGCGCCATCTGTCTACGGAAGTGTTTTGTATGTGAACAAGCCTGGAACAGCTTAAGCTAGCTCCTTAGTACACACTTGAATTCTGAACAGCACCTATTCGAACCACTGAGTGCACTAAATAAAATTCTGATTAACAACAGATAAACAAGTTCAAATAACCAGCAGAGATATCTATATCTAGCCAAATAAAACGTAAAGATTTGGTGAAGTGCTCGGTACTAAAAAATTTCAATACGGTACCTTTTAAAGGGAGTTCTCCTTTATATAAAAACTCTAATGATCTAGATACTAGCTGAATAAAATCCCCATATTTACGTAACTTGAATAGCACAGAACTGTCTTTGTATTAAACTGCTAATGAGAATGTGAGTCATAAAGGAGAAATATCCGATGCACATTTTCACCCAGTATCTAGATATATCGTTTTATTATGAAGTCCCATCATCCAAAAAGCACAATTAGCACCGACCAGCCCCTATATCTTCGAAATGTTCTTAGCAAGACACCAAAATGAAGCGTTTCCTTCCGAAAGTTTGCTGGTGCTCTAATCTTCTCAAAGCTCTAATGGGGAGTTGCGCTTCTACGTTCGGCCATCGCCTGTGCTATCATTATCAGTAAAATGAACGCACAAAAAAGAACGTACCATTCATTCTATATTTGACTCACCAGAATCAACGCAACTAACAAAATCGTCTCTGGTGCTGTTCGTACTCAACTCAGAAAATCACAGTCGCCTGTTATTGCCTGTCACGGTCGCTTTCGCATCAGCGGGAAGACGAGCTAGTTCGTGCGCTGCCAGTTATAAGATTAGTTTTGATGCCTCCCGAATACTCTAGGAGAAACTACTCACCTTTCGTCACCTAGAATGAGCCCGCGCAGTTATACAAGAGAGGATTTCGGGCGGACCACAAAACATGCGTGTAAAATACAGCGCGGTCGACTAGATCTTCATCGCGACCGAACACCCAATTGTTGGACGCATTATTGTAATTCATATTCGAGATGATCAAGAAGTACTACTCGAACGCAAAGGTTCAAATATTTACTTGCCGCCTGGGCACTACGACTACTAGTTTATCTGGCTTGATAGGCCATCCCGGTGTAACGTAACATCTCGTAAAAGGTCGAATGACGAACTTTACCCCTGTCTTAATTGCTTATTCCGTCAGTGGTCACTGACACCTTGTTGTTGTTGCTGTTGTTGTTTTTGTGTTTGAGGAGAACTTTACCAAACGACGATAACGACAATTAGCGCAATAAGAAAAACATTGTCGCTGTTTTCATTGCTTACGAACACAATTCTTATAGGTATAAGAACGAGATATGGTGCCTTGCTAACACCCTCTTACCTTGTCTACTCATTGTTTCTTGCGTCTCGGTGTTTCACGGTATGAGACGATCATATCGCTGATGAGGTTCACACTCGACGGTCGCTGTGTTAGAGCCTGTTTCTGTGGTTCATTGAGCCTCAGCTAGCCGGGTACACAGTAGTGTACACATATACATACATATACACAGAAATTTAGGACATTTCTTGTTATTGTTTCTGTCACAATCAGCACAAGCACCACAAATTAGTAGTTTGTGGGTAGAATCGGCCTTGAAAAAGGTACCGCGCAAGCTCCCGAGCAACCGTACGTACCCCACCGATAGCAATCTAATATATGCAATCTAATATATACTTCATAACAGTAATAACAGCATAAATAGAACAATTCCTTGCAAGCGCTCTTTGTCCCATTCCTCTCCGCACTCCCGTCAATGGCACTTCACCTGGCATTTAGTTAGAAACTACAGTCATCAGCAGTATTAACCATAAAGGCAATTATCACACCAGAGGACTTCACAAGCTGCTCATTGAATAGCTACTAACAGCAAAAACTGCGCCGCTGGGTGGCTGTTGGTAGCAAAGAAGGCCAAATTCGAATAGTAGACGTTGGTGTAAACAGACGGAAAATTCGTCTGCTTCAAAAATGCGCACCGTAGTTAGTCGTGCCTGGCGCCAATCTCCGGCAGTGAGTTATCACAACAGTATAGTAACTCTAAGTTTAAAACAAGTCTACATGCAGTCATATTGTAGTAAGATTTGCTAGATCTACATGCAGCTTAATTAATACTTTTACGGCGATAGACCTTCGAAAAGAAGTGATAAAAACGCAACGAAATGTTTGTCTCTGCAGAGCATTCATACCAAATAGCTTCTGTGTTCTAATAAAAAAAAACGTGTTTAGGTACTATGTATTGCAATAACAAAGGCCTCGCATGTGACCAAGGAAAACTTATTGTCGAAAAGTCGTTACTAAATGCTTTAGCTGTTAAGGATAACCTCGTGCGACAAGATATAATAAACACATATTTATAGTTCGACTGAAATCATGATCGCTGATTAAAAATTTGTGACCGTTTTCGCGTATTTGCACTAATCGGTAGTAGTCTACGAGCATGCGGATGCTATTTCCAGTTACCAGCCGACATGTGCTAGTAGATAACGCCATAGACCATTGGACTGATCTAATTTCACTTATGCAATAGCAATTTTCTACCGAGTGACTTTGCTAAGTAAAACGTAGCTCTTATCTCGTCCATCTAAATCTTAATACTAGAAGCTTAATTTAATAGAAGGCAAGGAAACAAGATTAGCTTTCTATAAACGGTAGCAGCTATAGCCCGATGGGTTTTTTCGATCACAGGATTACGTCATTTGAAACAATGCTTCATTTTTCATGGAAGTGCAAAACTGGCCTGAAGCTAATTCAATTTATAAAAAAGACGCAGGCCAAAAATCAAGGCGACGGAAGCATATCCTCCTTCTTATATATAACGGTTGGTTGATAAGGTTAATCTATTTCTCCTAGAGGAAACACTAACTGGAATCACTGGCTTAAAGTTTCATCAAATTTTAAGTCATAAAGAAAACCATTAAAGACATTACGTCGGGTAGTGAGTCGATTTAATTATCGTTTATTTTCCAGAACCAGATCAACATATTCTAGTGCTTAACAAACTAAAGGGAAATACCTGCTTGGTTATATCACGTTTTTAGATGAGGGGTATTAAAGAATCGCAAGTAATACGTGACACCAATTCCAACGTTCACTTTTATTGAACTAGGTATCATTTCAAATCGAAGGTGAGCTACTCTGTAAACGTCGATTACGAAGAGTGCTTCGCGGAACAAGAGATGACTGTACATGTTTGTTCCCATGTTTACTCCTCGAATTTTTAAACCTGAATTGTATTCTTTTCCTTGGTAACTTCGTAGACTAACACTCTAATACTCATCGATGATATGCAAAAAATGTTCAGCTTTCAAAGGTTTGTAGGATATTTATACGAGCAAAAAGATCTATGTAGGTCTTTTATTTTTTAGCCGAGCTAAAATCGACGGCGACTGTAAACGAGCGAACAAAATTTAACATAACACGGTTTGCAGTGCACGAGTTCTATCAGCTTATTTGGAAAACACATGAAGACCACGAACCTAATGAACTTATCAGAAAAATACAATAAACAATATCTTCCCATTAAAAGACTTCTTTTATTATATACGACTGGTATCAACATGCGCAACAGAGTTCCTGTACATTTACATATCTTTCAACGTCTGCTTCTATACATACATATTTGCCTCACTTTCTGTGCTTCTTTTTTGAAAAAATACGTCCATTAACACGCTGGCAGCTGTCCCTCCTGACTTTGCTGATGTGGGAGCCACTTGCCCTTTTGACTAGCCAAAAGAAAAATAATATCCCGCTAGAACATTTGAATATACCGGGCACGCCACAAGTGGAATATTCGGTATAAAAACGGACCGAATATATATTGAAAGGCGGAACTGGTTTGTTCTGGTCATAGAATCAAGTCAGTTCAGTCTTTATATAATTCTTAAATTCTTTCATAATATTTACGAAACTTACGAAATGTATTTATTTTTATTTTATATATTTACGAAACAGTCACAATAATTCATTACTAAATTGTTTCTACATTTCTGTATGCATAATACTACACGTGTTCCTGCTACAATTATTTCCGCATGGTGAAGTATTTCACTTTGTATATTCAGGAAGGTTATACTTTTCCTCTCTTTCTAGATAGGTGTGGCTCTTTTAACGACCTACAGATATGTATTACTGCTCTCGCATCTCGTCGAAGGTACTGACTACGTAAACAACCCTTTAGACTGTCTATACTATATAAACTGATATGACACTCGAAGGTTGCTAAAAGCCAACTGTTTCAACCAGCACCGATCAAATTTAGCCCAGTTCTCCGGTAACTTTCCAAGAAGAAGCAAGCTGTTCTGGTATGAATAAAGTTCTGCGATTTTCGCCCAAGATCAGAAAACGTAGGTAACTAGAATTAAACGAAAAATGCTAAATAAGATAGTATCATGCAAGGATCCGCTAAACGGTGTAAGAAATCCGAAATTGAATAGAAACTTTTATCGAGTCCAATAAAGTAAATAAAATAATTTCTTACATAGATCTCTTACCTCTGCGCATTTCCATAGCGCAGGTGATTTCGTAAGTAATTTGTATTTCTTTCATACGAGGAACAAACTTGTGGTCATTTTTTTTGAAGACATAAATCTGTTACGCCAAGAAAACATTATTTATAGTTGCGTAACCCGGTAGCAGGCTTATCCTTGAAAATTTTATGGAATAGGATTTCTGTTAAACAAATAATTGAGAATAAATTACTAAATATTCAGCTATTCAACGCCCATAGCTTGTGAAACAAACAGTAAAATGCCTGAAAGCAATCGAAAGAGTTAACACGTGATTTAACTTCCCAAAAAAAATAAAATGTTTGTATCGACAACGGTCATCGTGCTTTTTTGATTTATAGTTTACAAGGCCACCACCACAACCTGAGAGACCTTTCAAGTTTGACTCTCGTCGTTTTGAAACAATCTTTAATAGAATGCAAACCTAGCCCTTTTTCAGAGCCCATGCATAGGTACCTTGTGGTATCGTCCTCGCTTCCATTCAGGACTTTGGCTTCGACTTTGAAGACTTTTGCATTAATCTGTCTTCTTGTAGGCGGATTCTACATTCGCCTAGCTCGATGTTCACTTAGAAAAGAAATGAGCCGCAGGCGAGCAAAGGATACAAAGAAAATTCTTTCTTTTTACGAAATTAAGCGGAACTTCTCGTATCCCATTCATTAACGGGAAGACAAGCCCCGCTAAAGAAAATCTATTGTTATTAGAATGTTGAATAAAGAGCCTTTCCATACAAAGTCGATTGTCATTTACCATCTATATGTATATAGGGTGTATCGTTACATTATATAATATATTTGTACAAACTTCTGAAACGGAATGAACGAAGCGCTCATATACTCATAACGGTTCATATTTTGTACAGGGCTAAGCATTCGTGCCTAACCTATCATACAAGCTGCTGCATCATCATTGCGTTATCATGACGCCTGTACATAGATCTGTTACGCAACGTTATTTTGTACAAGCAGGTTTCGTCTTCCCCACATACTTCGGTTGGGTCTTTTTAGCTTTGCCGCTCTTTGCTGTCTTGGGTTTTGCCTGTAAATTCGAAATGTAAGACAATTACGATGACTGTAAACAGGAGTTAATAAATACGAGTACGCGAGGTCTGTGAATGATTGATTGTAAACTGAAACTAATACATTGAGCTTTGTTAGACCATACCTTAAAAGGATATTATCGGCCGAAAAATCACTATTGCCAGTTGACATCTAGCTACTGCATACGATTGCACAATACAAAGTTTGCATTGTTGTTGTTTAGCAAAAAAAAAATATTTGAAGATTCGTACAGTGCGTCAGGTAAATTACAAATTGACCATGTATCGCAAAAAATTTATACATTAAGGAACAACATCAAAGCAGATCATAGCTCGAGATTGGGGTGCCATTTCACTACCTGAGAAGATGGTGGGGTAAACTGGACGAGCGCTCCTTTATGACGAAGGTATGAAGCCATACAGGCGACCCGCGGCAATGGAGTCACCGGACTACGAAGAAAGCTGTAAAGCATTGTGCTTTAAACGTTTCAGTTCAACAATGTATACAATGGCACGTAAATAGACGGCAGTAGGAGGAAACAACGGATACTTTAGATTAACATAGGAATGAGTTTCTCCAGGAAGCCTCTACAGGGACGCTCCCTACCTTTTAATAGCTTTTGTACCACCAAGCACATTGGCAACTTGGGCTTTGGTGATTGGCGCTGGCAGCGGCGCATGTAGTGGGCGAAGGCCAAGAGCCAGCATGAACGCGTCTTTAGTTTCCTGAAAGGACAGAAGTTATTGCGGTTTAAAACGGTATAGATAACAACAGAATAGCCTAAGTGTAGTATTATGTCTGGTGCTCCCGTAACATAGCCCTTAAAGTAGGTCCGAGAGAAAACAATTATAGTATATAGTAACTTAAACACACAATTTATTTAAAAACGCGCGCCTTTCCCGGCAGACACCTACAAATAAACAACATATTTGTCTGCAACAAAAACCGTAGCCTTAATGTGAATATAGAAAAATAATATATGTGAAGTATTCATTTTTTCATAGCTCACCCCCTATGACATCGAGGAGCTGAAAGTGCCTAATCATTATAAGTAAACTTGTGACATATACGCAAAATAAATATCAGAAAATTATCGTCAGTGGTTAAGTCAGGAATAATTTTTGAGTATTACTGAACAGATGGCTTCTGATGATGTCAGGCGTATAGCCAGCAAATAAAAATAGCTTAAAACGACCTTGTGATCATTCCTTACGGATATTTCGAACACTTGCACGAATAAAACTTTATGCTACGTGATAGCATATTCATAGCATTTTGCCCCTCGACATTCATTTAGTAGCCATCCCCGTAAGCGGTGACATATTTGATGTCGGTGCAATGACACAAACAAAAACTACGTTATCAACGATACGCATAAAACTACGATTTTACAGCAAAACTGTGGAATCGTAGTCTTATGTATTGCAATAGTATGTGTTTGCAGTAGATGCAAATTTTGGCCTTAATAGTACCAACCTGTTCCCGACTTCTGCGTGGCACTGGCCGATATGCAAGCGCCTTAAGCTTGCTGTTAGACAACGTCGAAGGGACAGAAAATCCGGGAGGCACATTGCCGTTCTGTGAAGCGGCTAACCGCAGTTGAACGCCCCCAGGAGATAGGCGTATTTCCTGCTGAAAGAACGGAATAAGTCACGGGCAAATTCTGCGTGAATCGAGCGCATACAAGACAAGTAAATGACTGCCGAATATTATACGAATCTATTAAAAATGCACAAACAACAAATGGTAATGAATAATACATGTTTTTTTTATCGTCTATGGGTCTGGCGAAGGTGCGCCAGTATGATCAAAACTGATATACTCAGTCATAGATCTCACCCCTAGAGCCAAAGCCTTTGAACTGCTTTCTGACTTTTTCTTGAGAGACTTTGTTTTGAGAACTTCGTCGAGCGGAGTCACGCGAATGGCTCCCATCTTCTGAAACACGACAATTATACTCAGTCAGATTTAATAGCATCTACAACGTCAACGATTTTAGTAAGTGACAAAAACAGGTCAAATAATATACGCTTTTCAGATCAATCGCAGCGTTATGTGAGATGGTTTGACTAGCCAAATATCATCGGTCTCTAAAACACGAGACCGAACCAATTTTATGTGAAACAATATTTGGGTTAGAGAAAAAGAACCCAAAGAAAATGGGTGATTTTTCCCTGTTCATATGCAAAGTACTATGTGTGGCAGGCAGCTATTTCTGTTATAATGGGAGACGAAGCATCTTATTTTCGGACTTTACTTGTGCGGTTTTCAAACAATAGTTACCTAATTGAAAAAGCCAAAGGACAAAGATCGCGAAGTTAACAAACCAAAGGAAAGACTCACACATAATAGATGATAGCACGGATTTTCTAGGATTTCTGGTTTATTAGTGACCAACCTATTAAGCATAGACAAGTGCATCTAATCACAAACTATATAACCTAATGTAAGTTTCGTGGTAACGAATTAACGACGCTGTCTAGAGAAACACATTTTCACAGGAGGCTTAAACTCGATCCAACTTTCCGATCGAGATTCACACCAACTTGTGGAGTGGGCTCCATTCAGCCCAAACAATTAACCTAATGTATGGACCGCACGATCTTTGTTGAGGAATCACAAGGCCACTTTTGCAATCATATATCTTTGTGCAATCATATACAAGCTCATTCTTTAATACTAAAGATATCTTTATTTGTGTTCAGAGGTACTTCAGAGGCATCGTACTTGCTACACTAAACGAAGGACGGTGTTATGGGATGGAGGTCATTTCGCGAGCCGACAAAATGATGGCCATATGAACTGGTGCAGCTTCTCGTTCCTATCTGATATGTAAATTGAGACAACCAATAAACGTGTTTGGCCATTTCTTACCAACACCTTCTTTGCTGGTCACGTAATGTAAATCGCAGAAATGTAAGTCAAACATAATGCGCCGTCTTCGTTTAGCGTGATAAAAACCTTGCAGGTAAGAGTTCCTTTAATAACAGAAAAACGTTTCGTCTTATTTTACGTCCGATACTGCCTGACGTCGCTTAAAACAGCTCGCCTCTTCCAGTCCGTACCATGCAGGAAACATGTAGGCCATGTACGCTCACAGAGTACATAACCCCACAACGTGCTGCGTGTTCAATGTTGCGGTTACCCGCAACCCAAAAGATATACATTTTCTTAGCGAGAACCATCTACTCAACTCATTCACAGTTATTTTTAAGGGCTTTAGAAAAAAAACTAAATAACCACTCACCATGCAAAAATAATTTCTAGCAATCAAGTAGAGAATTATGATAAGTATATAGCCAAATAAAAAAAGTTCCCTCATTTTCTCTACCATACAGTTAGTACTGAACATTTCGAATTTCAGGTCGTTGTTCTTTAAACGGCTGACGGTCTCTTCCAGCATAACGCGATGTGTTTGCACCTAGTTTAGTTAGAAACTAGATCGCCTCACATACCTCGAAACTTAACCACGAAACATTATTGTTACACCATATTGATAAGCCACTAAAAACGATGTAAGATCTCGAGGGTAATTGGCGGGTTTTATCCCAGCCGATCCTAGCTTCATATGACTACCAAGCCGCCGAGATATGACAACGAACAGACGGGTACAGTAACAACTTCGTAGTCACAAATTCTAGTGAGCAAATAGACACTGCTAATTACCTTCATGAAGCACTTAAAAGGGCGGCAAATCAAAATGAAAAACGAGGAATATGCCAGCGAATCGCTAGAGTTGCACGCAACGGAACGGATACACGAGAATTCTCGAATCATAATTATTGAGTTAAGCGCGTATCTTACGCATTCCTTATTAAATTGCTATACAAGCGGTGGGAATTCTTTAGTCGCTAACTGTCTAACTTAGTTGATCGGTGAACGCGATTTGGGCCAATGACAACCTATTAACTAAGTTGTACTTCATCCATTAATGCGTTCAATGAAAATAATCAAACGTACTTCAATTAAACAAACCTTACTTTGTTAATCTGGAAATGATCGATGCAAAAATTATTACGATTAACGAGTAATAAGCAAGGATTTAGAAAGCATTCCGTGATCCATTATCATTTCTAATATTTTACGAACAAATACGCACTAAATATCTTATTGGCCTCCTGTCACCTGGTTTATATATATATTTCTTATTATTATGTACTCTTCGACGATCAGCCGTAGGAAATTAAACAAACGCGCTTTGCCGATTTTTTTTTGTTAATTACCCCTTTCTTCTTTATCGGGCTCTTTAACGTTCTTTTAATAGAAAGAAATTATATGTCGGTTATTTATGTCCAGGTCTGGAATACGCGTTCATGCACAAAACTATGAATACCGCTTGAGTCTGCATCGCGTTGAAAACTTCCAGCCCAGTGGCTCTCTCGCGCTAGTCGTTGTCCCGGGACGCGGCACATAGCAGTATGATTACTCTGTACTTCTCACATCGAATAGCAGCAACTGATCAACGATGTGTATCCAATCCGATTCGATTCGAAGGCGAACTCCAACTTCCTGCTCGGCAGCTGGCCCTTGCTGTAAGCAGCTGTTTTTTATACAGCAGTTACGTATCAGCAGGTACTCGTACGGCAAAATGACGGCAACATACGTAAGTAGAACGACAGTACTAACTTGGACAGTAGTTTCACCACCGCCATCACTAGCACCACTGCCACTCCTGCAAACTACAAACCCCCTATAGTGACACTCTTATCACGACGTAACAGCAACGACGTGTATTTAAAGGGACGGAGCGGCCCTTCCTTGGAATAGCGCAGGCCAAAGAGACAGCGAGACGCACTCCCAGGTAAGAAGCAGCGCTGCTTGATGAACACACAGGTCGTTGTATACCTAGAATATCTTCGTGTGTATTTAATTGCTTTGTCCACTGTGGGAACACCGTCAGTCGCATATACAAATCAGCGGAAGATCGCACCGATTGGGCCCATCGCTGTTATTGCTGTGGTTCATTGCGTTTGACTGAACAGCGAGATGCGCCAGTGGCAAAAGCAATCTTAATCTCCGAGTAGCGGGTGAATGCAGCTCGGTGAAACCAATCCTCGATGCGGCTTTGTCATTGGCGCCGTTTCCTTACAAGCGGTGAGAACCAAGAGGAGAGTGTGGCTAAATAGAGAGGGCTTCAAAGGGGTTTGCTCCTGTAGTTAATAATATTAGGTATAAGATAATGAATACCGAGTTGCTATTTATCATATAATATCATATCGATCAACAAGTGCTCTTGAGGCACAGGTTATCCCTAGCCACCACTGCCGATTAGGTCCCCACTTCCGCCAAAGAGCCTGGCTGCTTCGACCAGCTAGTTAAGCACACGTTCGATTTACCCGTGTGCGCGCTACAGTGAATATGCGGTGGTTCTATTACTGTTGTTAATTCAGTCTTGCTGAGTGTTTCCTATGTACACAAAGCTGGTGAAGGTGTTATGCTGGCGTCGCTCTCGCACATTTAAGCGGGCTATTCTGGCATTTGTTTCCGGTTCTGCGTAAACGCTACTGTTTACTTATAGCGTGTTCTGTTCGCTGGATATTTCTGGTGTGCTAGTTAGATACATTAGCTTGTGTCTGAGTATCGCTATCAGAGGCGGTTATCGACTCCGAACTGACGAACGTGGATATCTGTGACTATTTCTGCAGCGAGCTGAAGGCAGGCACAACAGCGAAGCTTCGATACTGAGCAGAGTAAAAAAGAAGACAAACGTTGACTTGTAGTACTGTAGAAACTGTGGGAGCTCGTTTATGGTAAATGGCCTAATTTGAATTGTCATTCACTCATTGTGTATACATAATACCAAAAGCCAGCCACGCTCCATATCGTGCGCGTATTCGTATGACGAAAATGCGTTGCATGTTCTGCCATTTTCATTTGTAATACAATACTTGATAAATAGTAGAATCGTTTGCGGTTCACTGTGTCCAGAATATATAATGCCACAGATCATGTTCCTCGTACAAGTTGGACTTTGCGCTTGCTTCCATGTTCGGGTTGAAAATAGAGCGTATCAAATCCTCCAAACGTACGGTCAACTTAACAGCGTTACCATTTAAGATCTGTTACAAATTTGTACTATAAATGCATGTGTGTTTGGGTTCTTGCGTATGTTGAAGGAAGTAAAGTAGCGTCCATGTCAGCTTTGTGCATAAAATCATTGTGGTGGTGGAGTGAAATCTAGTGTCAAATCAAAATATTGGATCATTTCAATGGGATATTCGGCTGATTATTATCGTCATGTTAGCTTCAATTAGACGCGAACGTTTCAACCTCAGCGAGGCATGCGCTTGCATTACTATCATTGTTGTTAACGTCCGTTAGCTAAAATCATTGAAACAGAGCCAAAGAAGACAGAATATAATTTAAATCTAACTGCAATGACCAAGTCATCACTAATCATGACGTTGATCGCCAAACTGAGAAAGATGTTTGGGACAAAAGTCGAAAATACAATCAAATCACTCTTTTCAGATGCTGCTGTGTTTGGGTCCCGCTAGTGAGAATGACACTAGTGGTACCTTTGGCAAACTTCTTGACTTCGAACCGATTCAGTTTGAACCTGTGGGTCGACAGTACGAAGTGCGGTTCAACTGTCGAGGACAGAAGGACTCAACAGCGGAAAGTGATAATGACGAAGAAGAGGACACTGAAATCGTGGTTGAAGAGACCCCTGAAGAAGTGAAGTACTTGCGCGGACTTGATCCAAAAGAGTGGAAACAGCAGGACCACTATCACGTCCTGGGCCTTCAGAATCGTCGCTTCTATGCTACCGAGCGCGAAATCAAGGCTGCGTTTCGGCGAAAGGTCTTATCGCACCATCCGGACAAACGAGCAGCTATGGGCGAAAAAGTTGATAACATTGATACCGATTACTTCTCTTGTATAACTCGGGCACACGACCTGCTCAGTAATCCAAAACTTCGCCGATCCTATGATTCGGTTGATGCAACGTTCGACGACTCAGTACCTATTGTCAGCGAAGAGAATAAAGCAAATTTCTTTGCCGTATTTACCCCTGTTTTCGAGCGGAACGCCCGATGGTCGATTAAACCCCATGCGCCGCCTCTCGGCGGGCCTGAAGCGACTCAGGATGAGGTTAACGAGTTCTATAATTTCTGGTACGATTTTAAATCCTGGCGCGAGTATTCTTACCTCGACGAAGAGGACAAGGAAAAAGGAGAGAACCGCGACGAACGCCGTTGGATTGAACGAGAGAATCGAGTGCAACGAGAGAAACTCAGGAAAGATGAAACGAAAAGAATCCTTCAGCTGGTCGATAATGCCATGAAATGTGATCCCCGAATTAAGAAGTTTAAAGACGAAGCAAAAAGAGCTAAAGAGGAAGCGAAGAAACGTCATTTAGATGAAGCCCGCGCGAAGCAACTCGCCGAGGAGGCAGAACGTCGTCAGCAAGAGGAGGCTGCTCGACTTGAACGGGAGCAAGAAGAGATGGCTGAAAAGGCAGCCCGAGAGAAGGAGAAAAAGGCTCGCGACGCTTTAAAGCAGGAACAAAAATTACAAAAGAAACAATTCGAATCGATGTGCGCGGAAGCGGGCAACTTTGCGGAAATAGGTTCGGCCGAATTCGTCAAGAATCTTGAACGTGTTGACCAAATTGTCCGTGTACTTCCGTTAGAAGACCTTACGAAAATCAATGAAGAGATGCACGCCAAGACGGCAATAAGTGAGCGGCGAGCTGTTTTTGATAAGGCAGTCTCAACACTCGAGGAACTACTTGAGAGAGAGAAGATGAAAACGCTGCAGGGCGCCATGAAGGGAACCAATATCAATGGAGGTCCGGGTAAGAATAGTGAAAATCAGAATGATTGGGTTAGGTCAAGGTGCTGTTTATAGGTTCAACTTAAAAGCAGCAAATTGTTTTACATATCTGTCAACAGTTATTTCACGTCGTTAAGTCATAGAGGGATCACGAATGACTAATCGAAGACAAAACAATTAGAAAATGAGGTTAATTTACCAACATTTGCAGAATCTGTTTAGAAGTGAAATCGAACAAACTTACTAACTGATAGTCCATTATCACATTTTATGTGATGCATACCAATTAGCTGGTTCAAGTGGACCTGCGAATTCGAAGGGCTGGAGTCAAGAGGAAATGAATTTACTTGTAAAAGCAGTCAATCTTTTTCCCGCTGGTACGACTGATCGATGGGAGGTAAGCCGAGTAATTTCAAACTCATATTCGTTAACAATACGATGATGAATTTCCAAATAAGTCGCACAAACAATAATTATTATAGTCTATTGGTATATATCAGTGCTTCTAATCCATGTCGATGCCTTATCTTAAAATTAAAGCAGATTATGAATGCGTCTACTGACCATGAATTTAAAATTAAATGGTGATGCGACGATTTTCGTATCACTAACATTTGTTTTTAAAATTATAGGTTGTCGCTCAATATATAGCGCAACATTCGGGCCGCGGTGTTAAGTTAAATGCCAAAGACGTTCTTAACAAAGCCAAAGAAATGCAAAAATTTGGCCTGGGAAATCGCCAAGATGGAGGAAGGTATGTAGAACAAAGTCGTACGCTAAGTATTATATACATGTTATGTTTCGAGCAAACGATGACATGTACCTTTAAAATAAGTTTCATTTCGTTTAAGTTACTTTGTGTAGCTGAGTTTACTTCTAATAAAATGAAGTATGCTATTACGGGAAAGATAATAGAGATTATACGACAGCGATGTTTGACAAATGAAGTCCTCGCTCCGCAATACACTATCATATGATGAATGATAACTTTTGAAAGTGGAGATCGCTTGTTAACTTATTATTCTACTGCTTGGATTGCAGTTGCACCGCAAATCTGAGACCAGCGCGAACAGGCGATGAAACAATTGCTGGAGTTCATCAGGAAAAACTAAGCTCAATTAGTGAGGTAAGCACTAACTGTCTCTATTCTCTATTGTTTTCGATTTTATTCCAAGAAGGACAACGCAATCATCTATTGTTAGACTGTTTAAAAACAACTTGTGAGGGCGAGATGACGAAGGACGGCCGGCCGCAAACGAACAAGATACATACTTTGGGTAACACATTCAGTCATGCACTTATTCATTGCTTACGGTCGTGACAGATTGCACGGGCGTGGTCGAATGAAGAGCAAAAATTACTGGAGCAGGCGCTAAAAACGTATCCAGCATCCCTGGGAGCTGAGAGATGGGTCAAAATTGCATCAGTTCTACCGAACAGGTTAGTTGATTGGATATTTCCACGATCATGAAGTTGTGTCAATATCTATCAATCTATTAAATCAAACCTAGCCATTGTGCATAGTATTAAGATAGAGCATGTTTACATGTGTGACATATAGAGGTTTTTAAAACTGAAGTTTATATGAAAAAGTGGATTTATTAGAAAAAAAAGGAAGGTTGTTTTATACTATTATATTTTCTGGACTAATAGTGCACTTCGTACATGAAGTTATTCTATCGTCATCATGTATACGCTCTTTGCTATGCATGCTCTTTATGAAGGACAAGCAATAACTACCGGCTAGAGTACATAAAACGAATACGCTGATGAGTATACCACTTTTCGCAGCTGCTAAAAGCGTCTTTTTTGAAGCTCCGATGTACGAGCAGTAACAAAAATCATAGTACGAACTAGCTTTTTCCCGCGTACTCGTGTGTTCAAAAATTATCATTTATGTTCTTTATTTTCGCTCGGCATTAACATTGTTTATAGTATTTAGTACGGCTTCTCAATTTTATCAATTCGATTTGCAGGAATAAAAACGAGTGCATGAAGCGTTATAGTAATTATCATGGTTTCTTCATTTTATTCATTTGATTTCAGGAGTAAAAAGGAATGTATGAAACGTTACAAGGATCTGGTCGAAACAGTGAAAGCCAAGAAGGCAGCTATTGCGGCTTCAGCGGCGGCGACGGCGGCGAAGTCGTAAAAACCAATAAAATCAAAACGACCTGTACAGCAACAATGCAGTGATAATAAGAGTTACAAATAATTATATACAAACGTATGCAGACTGAGGATGAAAACGGTTTCTAGATGCAATGCCAGCCTAGTTTACATCGTTGTTTATATTGGCCGTTACCTGATTGTTTATTAACATGCGATGAATTACTTTCGACGTTACCAAATGGTGCGTTGTCACACAAGCTATATATTCGAAGATAGAAAAACGATGACGAGAGTGATTTCTAAATAAAAATGGCCGGAGAGGGGGGAGATTGTTTTTAACACAAAGGTATGGAACAAGATGGGGAAGACAATGTGGAGTCCGTTTAATAAATGTCACTATTTATAATATAATAGTTCGCGAAGTTTTTTGTTATCGTATCGTTCGTTTTTCTGGATCTAGTTTTAAGCGTTTCATAATTATTGTATACAGACTTGATTACTCCACACTCCGAATACGTGTGTTTAGCTGTAGCTTGGAAAGGGATCTTATCATTAATAGGGCCACATGGCACCAAGCTTAATTTGAATTGCGATAGTGTATTATCGATTTAGAAGTAACTGTTTGTGGTCGAGCTACAGTAGTGAAAGAACTGTGTCCCTAAGATATGAAGAGTTAGGTACTACCCTGAATATACAATGGTTCGCGTTAGAAAATATCTATGAATATAACGTTAATTCAATATACACCCACATCTAGTTAATACATGAACCTTCTTCTTAAAAAATGTCTCTAATTTATTTACAATGGTAATAACAAGCATATATACATCATCTTCCTGTAGAAGTTGATTTCAGCACCTGTAAGACGAACAAGCAGAGAACGTCTTAAAAGATTTGAAGAAGTGATAGGAATCATAAAAGCATATTGAATTAGGATTGGCATTACCACCTGCGCTTTTTATTGCTCCGGTTAAATGTTTAAACTCAGTATCTAAATATTAATCGTTTGTAATATAACTGAACATACTGCAGAATATATACAATTCCATTACTTAAAATTCCGCTCATTTCTGTAGAGGCCTTCTGGCAATTACTGGGTCACTGTTTTTGTAGCTGGACCGGTAGTCGCAAATCGGACTTCATATGTCAGTTTCCAATCTTTGGTCCTATTTGTTCACTATCTTTAGGCGCTTTACTACGGTTTACGCTTCAGAACGAACAAGGGCTAGCATCGGTATTGGCATGGCGTCTGAAACACGCGATGATGTTGCTGTTGTTGTCTCGTAATGTGGGCAAATTCTGGAAGTGAAACGTCATTCGGCTCATCCGAGCCATCACAACAGTCACAGATTCCATCATCGACACGTGAAGATGGCACTTTGACAGTGGTATCCTGCAAAGAGAGGCAAACATTTAATACAAAAAACACATAATATCTTCTTGTGACTAAACGGGACTGCACCGGCCATCGTCCTCCAATATTCAAAGTGAGGCCATGCGAAGTTCTTGTGTAAGTTATGCATATAAAACAAAACAAACATTTCGCTTGAGAAGTGGAAGTATGCCTACTAGGATTATTAGGATCTGTGCTGTCATTTCTATCTTGGTCAATGGTATGGAAGTTTTCTTATAATAGTATGTAATAAATGTACATATAGATCTGGTAACGGATATGCAACAAAAAAAAATTAATCATGCTACTCATATTAAGTAAGCGAAAAAATATTTTCTCTAGCATGGCGCACACGATCATGTAGATCTCGAAAGAAAGAAATTTTAAGTTCTTTTCCATTACTTTAGAATAAATAACAAACGAGCAATACACAAGGTTAAATTATGCTCACACCCTTCTACAGAGAAACTAACCCGAGTGCACACAAAGTAAGTATTAGGACACGCTCCAGTGGCAGGCTCATCATTGACTTCAACGCCTGCGCCGCAGTCGCAGTAGTTATCATTTATTTTTTTCCAGTCGACCAACTTTCCATGATGTTCACGCCCACCACACTGGAAATAGTCTGTAGCGCCCTCATGCCAATAGAGATGCGCCCAATGTGGAGCCACTCCGAGGGGCATTATTTGGGGCGGCGAAGGCGGTGGGGGCAGAGGTAGTCGCCGGCGTTTCGATACCTGTGCCCCTGACTGCAGCTGACCGAGATAGTATATTTGATAGACGAGAAATATTAGTCCCGTCATGAACAGTGCCTGTAACAGTCGTCTTAACCTTAAGCTAACCATGACGATAATGGCTAGAAAGATATCCAGCACAGGATGACAACGGAGGCCGTGGTCGGCAGTAGAAAACTTCGTCTCCGTAGTAATTCGCGCTCCACTGGCCAAAAGGGAGAAAGTCAATGTGCTAACAGCATCAAAAGCGACTGGCGAAATTTTTAACGCTTGTTGTAGCTTTGTTTATTTTAACGATACGCACGCACAAGTGAACGATGCATGCATCTCACTATGTTTACACCGCTAGTTATTATCGTTGTTGGCAAATCGCTATTTCAATTCTCATGGAATATCTATAATACGTCGTTTCTATATGTTGCTAGTTGTAAAGCGTGTCTTATGCCAACAACGCTTGTCAAACATAAAACATAAAATAGAAACCACTGATGGATCCATGATTTGGACTCTAGCACAAAACCTTAAAAACTTATTCCGTAGTTGACACTTTGCTTCACAATGAGATGAATATTCGTTTAGTACGTGATAAAAGAATCAAATTGGCGAGTCATTCATTACAGTTGTGCGCCGTTTATGGTGATTACGGTATATCGCGAGATCACGCACGTAGGCGATTCATAACACATACCACCGCACATCAGCATAAATTTTCATATTCTACAACGTTTAACAGTAATCATTGGGTATGTGATTATGGGGTGAAGGTAAAACAATGTCTTATATAGGCAAATTGAAAAATACATATCAGCTATCTTGCTACTAACAGAGCTGGTCAAATCCCCACTGGCAAAAACACTACTCTGCTTATATATATATATCAACGGACGGTAGGATATGTAGTTGATCAGCTGTTTCGATTCAGTCGATGGTACTCCAGTAAAAGGGCCTCTTTGGCTCGCTCGCCGCTCACAGCAACGCGGCACCGCACTTCGACGGAGAGCTAACGATATAATATCACATCTAATAACAACAACAACAACGTCTGCCAGATGTGCGCTCATGCGGGCTACTAGGCTCCGCCACACCTCAGTTTGTATCCGTTTGCCGCAAAAAACACAACAACAAAACAAATGAACTATAAATTGATAATCAGTTAGACTTTGACCAAAAATAGATTAGCCAAAGCGAGGATCTCTCTTTTGTCTATGTACATTTATCACTCTCTAATGGCCGTGTGTGTAACGCTTTTTACGGCATCATGTAGTATCGGCATCTTACACAGGTCCTAGTGTCCAGCATTGCTTCAGATGATTGGCTTTTAGCACGAAACAAACCGTGAGTCCGGTTTCGAATCCCCAAAAATGCTAAAAAACAAGGAAAAAACATTATTTATCTCATCACTTGCAAGATTATGTGAAAAGTAGATATTATGATATATTTGCCTTTTACAAAACTAATCAGAGTATTGTTTAGCCTATTTGTGCACTTTGGTTTCTATTGGCAAACCCATGCGATATTTTTGTGATAAGAGAGGTGTAAAATAGACGGCAAATAAAAAAAAAAACTCGAAGTTTTGAAAATAGTTAGAAAATATAAACTGGGAAACTTTCTTCTATTTTCTTGATTAACCACACAGTTCCCCGTTTGCCTTTTGGCCTAACACAAAATAAAATTATTAATTATGGTTTTCGCTATTTCGTTTTAAATAAAAATTCCACTTTTTTTCAATACACCAAGCGCAATAATGTATGATTATTTGAAAAACTAGCTAAAAGTTAAATTTATTTATGCGTGCTGATTTGAAGATCTGTTCAATGAAACACAATGTGTTGAGGAGGTACAGGTTTGGGATCCTCGAAAGTATTCCGCACACTTAGCTCGTGTTGGTTTTTACTAATCAGTCTTCAAAATGCCATTCTGTGTCACCTATTTACCACGGTCCCATGAACTATTCGCTTCCCAACAGATAGACGCTTGCTTAGGTGCAGTAATGGTAATCTAGCTTACCATATAGACTCCCCGTGTCCATTTAAAAAAAATTGATCATGCGGACACGTCGTGAAAACGTTAGTGCTACTGGATAACACAAACAGACTCCAAAACGAGTGACATATACGTAGATGACATCGCCTACGTTTCCAATGGCTTCCCAAAGCCCGTTTGTCGACCCTATTTAATCCTCGGCCATCCTGTTGTCATTTTCTGTCAACTCCTCTTGCCGAGCCCGCATTCATTTCCCGCCATTTCTGTTCACAGACACTTCAATTTCCACGCACATTCGTTTTCCAGTCGTTCCACTCTCCGCCGCCATTCGCTGCCAACGCGATGATGCGCTTGATCCGTATTGATCCGAACGGATAAAGGAAGACTTGCTGTCTCTGCGGCACTCCACAGTCGCTAGTCACCGATACGAATAGGTTTGACGTCAAAGAACATCGTCACCGGAGAGGGCCACATGTTGTGGTACAACACAATAGGGTTTGTTTTTCTTGTCGTCTAACATTACTGCATATACATCGATATCTGTTGTTAACAGATCATCATTGGAAGTGAAAGAACAGCTCGTCGCACGTTTACACACACATCTAAATTGCCCTTAACACAAATTCGGCGCCAGTAACACACAAGGCCCTGTACATACACCCATCACATACACACATGCATACACACTCGCTCATATACACACACACCCACACATATACATACAAACACATACATACACATGTACACACACACAAACACATACAAACGCACACGCTCGCATGGTGGCCGTTTATCTGTGAGTGTGCTTCACGGCCCTGTGTGAGTGTGTGCCCCACTAGTGCTTTGCCTGTAACAGCAATAGTGGCAGTAGCAGCGTCGGCGGCGGCGGCGGCGTCAGTGGCGGCGGCCGCTGTAGGAACACCACTTGCCGTCGTAGAAGCAGCGGCAGCCACAATATTCAATAACACCGAGCGACACGAACCTTGTTCTGAGTTGTTTCGTGCGGTCGTATTTGTTGCAGCAAGTAATTGTACCAGTATCGAGTACTCGAATTGAGTTCATCTGGCCAGCCACAGCTGACGACATGGCAAACGCTGTCGGCCCCAACTCCAGCTGTTGTTCGCACCCATCTGGCAAGTGAAAGCTGCATCCGAACTTTACTGCACCGTATTAGCGTTTGACTATAAACTGTGTGATTGCAACTCGGGAGCTGTATGAGTGAGTTTATCTACGTGAAAGTGCGTCCAGCGGCCAGCCCGATGTGAGTTGCCGAGCAGGTAGGTTAGTCGGAAGATTTGAGACTGTGTGATTAAACGAATGGCTGTGATTTTTCCCTTCATTGAATTAGACGATGCGTTGAATAAATAGATTTTTTCGCTACGAATTACAAGTTGGCTCTATTGTAGATTGTGCGGGACGTCTCCGATAATCGAGAGGCGAAGTCCTCATTACCGTCAGTTTCTCCATCTCACCATAGGAGTCGATAAGATAAAATCGCCACGGAAAAGTGCATATCGAAATTGTTCAATGCTTGGGCTGGGCAGGGCAGGTCACTGATGTGCGGGGAGCTCCAGCTCCAGCAAATGCTGCCTAAGCCAAACCTACCAGAGCTGAGACGACATGTACTGCTGTTCGTTCATTATTCCTGCGGTAGCGGTATACAGGAATCATATATAGCCCAGTTATGTTGCCAAGTGTGCTAAAATAGCTATGATCACCAAGAAACACGAACGATGTGAAGTGATGGTTAGGAAGCTGGAGTGCCGATTTTTTAAATGTTTCCTATTTCCTACCGGTTCAGGCCGATTCGTGTTGATCAGCTGTTTCTCTGTTTGAACAGTCGGTGGATCTCGCGTCATCATGCAGATTGGGGCCTACTACTCGTACTTTAAGGTTTTATCCGGTTCTAACTAGCCGTAGCACTCTGTTGTCGGCGTGCTTAGCTGAGATGGCGCGATTTTAGCCGTTCAGGAACGATGTGGTAATTAGCTAGACATATGTAGAACTGTTTTAATAATGGAAGACGACAGAGAAGAGCAGGCAGATTGAGGTTGAATGCAGCTAGATATGATCCTTGAGAGAACATCTCAAGATATTATAGTAATAACAGAATGTGCTTTTAACAAGTTAGTAAAAATGAAGATAATTACAAAGTGATCAGGCGAACTTATTACGAGTTCACAGAAAGTGGTCGCTTGCTCTGTTTGAGGGTGAGAAGTAAGCTTCTCCCGGCGGGAGTGTAGAAATGCAATTAGGAATGGGATATGCGAACATTCCTATAGTGGGAACGCTGTGTGACGTGAAGCTGTACGAAGCTGTTGGCAAACATATATGCTTTGCCTCGTATAAAAGTTTATGAACTCGATGAAAGGGCGCTCTCAAAGTTCCGATGGTCAGTGTGAGCTACACCTTAACGAGTCCTGGTAAAGCCTGAGAAAAATAAATAACATTCAATAAACAGAAAATGTATTTCTTGCATCTATGGGTTTAGAGTTCGTTGCATTTGTCAGGAATGTCCGACGACGATAATGGTAGAGTAAATGGTTGTAATTTGCAGATTTCTTAAAGACTAACAGGCGCCAACAACACAACCGTAAAATAGTTCTAGACTTAAAATGACAAGAATGAAATTTAAAAGTATTTATGAATTTTTGCTAGCGCTGCAGAAGACTGAAAGGATGCAGTTTAAAAATATGTCGAATAATTATGAGTTACATAGAATATTAACAATTGTCATACTTATCAACGTATTTTTGCAGAGCATGTACAAAACAAAACAGTAATCTTGCAGTAGTTATATTTGTAGTAGGTTTTTGTTCTATCGCTGAATATCGTTCGTTGGTGTTAAGCCGTTGAATCCCTGAATAAATTTCTATTTAATTTTTAATTAATTCAAATATATTTTATTCAATTTTGTGAACAATTTTGTTTGATTAATTTTTTTTTATTTCGGATGACGAATTGATTCTGTTCAAAATGATTTGATTGATATTGCTTTATTTTCGTAAGTCAGCATTATTAACTGATCAAACTACCATCGTAATTATGATATTTTAGCTCTTTGTTACGTTATTTGTTGCGATATTACGTAGATGTGTTTTCGGAAACCCTTTACAGATTTAAATAAAGAAAGTCGTACAAGTATTTATTCGGGATGCGTGATGCTTCAGCTAACCTTAGACAGTTTTTAATAACTGAGAGTTTTACTAAATTGCAAAAAAAATGCGTCAGGGAGTTTGCAACATCTAAGGATTCACGATAGCCAGGCTATAACAACTATGATGCGGAGTGTCATTCTTCTTGCTCTTATTATTATTACTATTAATACTACGATTGCGTAAGTCAGTTAGGTATTGTTCTTCATTTGAAAACTAGCTGCCTATATTTTAAAGTGCTACTAATTTTTGTATTGTTCGTAACTGTTATTGCTAGTATTGTTGTTGTTGTTGTTGCTATTGGTATATTTTTTTGGTTCTGCTGTTATTACTGACCAATAGGTGGCGCGCATGCATCGCGGTGCACTGTTGCCTGCGATGGGAGGGCTGCCCCGCCGTGTGCCCCCTTCGCCCGGTATCGCTTTGCTCGTGACGCCTCCGCCACAAATTGGCCCGCCAAATGGCAACACATCCTATTCTGGCTCGACCAGCAGTGGCACCGGGACCAGCGGCGGAGGAGCGAGCGGTACAAAAAAGCAGCAGGGCAATCAAGGGGCACAAGGTGCGGCTGGAGGCGCCAACCACAAATGCTCTCGGTGCAAGGCGCGGCCCAAATCCGGATCCGGCAGCAGTTTGTGCATACGATGCAAACTGCAGCGCGAGTACTGTTCGCCGAGGGGAGGCTTTGCTGGACCCAAGAAAAAGGTCCCAATGACAGCGCTGCCAATGACGCCTTTGTCGTCAACGGCACCAGCTTTGTCGCCGACTATGGAATCACGAAACGATATATTGCAACTGACGCCGCCAACATCGCAACAGCTTACTCCAACTCCGAATACACCCAGTGGGATTTCACCGTCTACTGGGATGCATCTCGGACAGGCACCTACATTGTCGCAGAAAACGGAAATTAATAACGTCGTAAGTCCACCGTTGGACGTGAAACCGTTGATCATTCACCTTGAGGTGGCCGGGGACCTCTCAAGGAGCTTGCAGTGGGCCACCTTAGGAGATCAGGAAGACTTGACAGAAACAACGTGGCCTCAATGCATGGTAGTATTTCAAGACTGTTTATTAGCTAAACGAACGTATGTGACGGTTAAATGAAGCACAAATTTAAGAAACTCCGTATCTACGTAACACATTCTACTGTGATGTTACTTTCCATTCTTTTAAAACTTTTCAGTTTATTAACGCATAATATTATTAAGTGTTAGATAAATACAATACTTTATTTATTATTAACTTGTTTCTAAAACATTAATTTTCATTGCCTTAAATTTATATCCAATTTCATAGGAGGAATTAGAGCGCGAAACAGACGATTTTAGGCCAGAGTCATTAAATCAGGTTTTGTCTGTGAGTGAAACGAGTCCAACGCATCCAGAACGAGTTGAGCCCTGTCCAGCTAATGTAGCGCTACCTGCAGAGATCGTGGGTGCAATGAGCACCAGCGGCGGGTCTGGTAGAGCTCGACTGGGTCTTGCTCGATTACCTGCCATATTATCACTACCTGAGGGTCCGCAAAGTCCATCCGAATTGACGCGCAAGCAACCTTCCAGAACATTGCCCCCAGCCATTGCTTCACAGTCAGTCCACACGATCAACGGGATCGGACCCCCTAATCCAAAGATGTCGCCGGCGCAGGGCGTAGTGGTGACTTTGAATATTCCAGACAGAGAACTTTCGAACGACATCTCAAACAAGCACTGCACTAATTCCCTCAGGCAATCTGTTACTACCACGACCGGAACAGATTGCGTTATAGGTGACACTCACCAAATCTCACTAACGGCAACCTCTCCGAATCAACAAATATACGTCCCGATGGTTTCGGTGACGACGACAGCAGCATCTACTACACTAAGTACAGCCTCCTATGAAACGCCAATGTCATTCCATAATCACAGCGACGGCGTCCCGTGTCGAGTTGATGCTGACGTCTGGCGAAGCCACGTAAGGTAAGTTTAGTCGTTGGTTGTGAAGTTGTTTTTCAGGCATACGATATTTACACGTTGAAGATGAGCCATAAACAAAGCACTGTTTAATAGTTAGCCATTATCAGCCTAGTTTTTTTATTCTAGTGCAAATATAACCCTATGCAATGTTGGATTATTTCAGAAATTCATTTATTAGATGTGGCGAGTATGCACGCCTTGACTTATCGCCCAGGAATTAGATACGATACACAAGACAGGCGTATCCCAAGTATATAGCAAGTAACGTTGTTGTTGGTGTTTATCTTGTACTCAAGGAGAGCGGTTCGCTCCTACACAATCTATCTAGAAGAAGCTTTCTCGGCTTTGCTTGAATCTCCTTCCGAAAGCAAATGGGTCACGGTGCTTAGCGTCTTTCAAAAAAAGACTGTACTCTCCAAGATTCTTCAGCGATTATCCATTCTGCAGAGAGCCCTGCTGCCCCCCGAAGAGCACACGTCGTTGCGTCGGTGAGTAAATTAGTCTTCGAGACCATTTCGTTTCTGACTCAAGCTTGAAGAAGACTTGTTTAGCCATGTTACAGACTTGCTTAATGTAGACGAAGCTGTTGTTTCTTTCGCTTTCAATGAGGGGTCCCATTGCTTTTATACGCTATTTCCCCTGTATGTCATACAGTAGCGTGCCGTTATTCCTTCCTGGTCTAACATGGATAGACTGTCCTTGAATTTGATCGCGTTTTTCCTTCCTCAGGGTATCCCGAAGTGCTGAGCAGCTCTTCAAGGCAATGAGTCGGTTACGAGGTGAGATGGCTGCAGCACGAAATACGGAACAGCGTTTAGGTCACAGCGCCATTTATCCATTAGGCCAAGCAGCAAGTTATCCCACTTCACCTCTTGTAGGTGACTCCACCAATATCAACGATTATAGCTCGCTTACGTCCAACGGACTTTGCCCCACTGCCATCCCTTTGGATACAACCGGGGACAGTTTCAGCAGTAATACTTGCGGCATTCAGCCAGCAACTGCCAGAAGTTCGCATCTGGACGTTAACTCGTTCATCTATCAGTCAGGTAAACAGCAGCAGCAACAGATGCCGCAATTAAAATCGTCACCAATCGTGAGTAGGAACTCTCCAGTTTACAACGCCGTTCCCGCAACTAGCGCACCAGTTGATGAAAGCTTTTTTGCAAGTGGCATTTCACTGCCCGGCACCTTCATAACAACACAGAAATCTCTAACGGAGGAAGCCGATGACGAAATTTCGAAAATTCTCGCAAAGCTTAAAAAAGAAGATCGTTGCACCATACCACAGGTGATGACTACGAACAGTTCATTATCATCAACACGGACTGGCTCGTTATCTCAAGCACAACAGGTGAACACTGCTCCATCCTATCCGCTCATAACGAACGGCTCAACCGTAATGGGACACAGTTCGTCAAAGATCGATGCGCTTCCATCATGTACACGAATTACGTCGGCGTCGTCAGCGGTTCAACAACAGACCGCCACTGAAGTTGGAGTACCTGCTCAATTGATGGCAAGACTCTTATCTCCAGAGTTTTCTTCACAACCAGAAGCATTTGTAGGTTCGACAACTTCAAACGATACTCACAGTTCGATGGGCAGGTATAACGAAACATCTGTAAATCAAACTACTGAATCACTGAATCAGACATATGCGAACATCGCAGCTAGGGAAACGAACTCTACTCAACGCCCGTTTGGCCAACAGCAAGCGAGCAACGCTGGAGGCGCTTCAATAGGAAATAGGCGGTTATATTTTTACGACATATCAAGACCTCTCAGTCAAGATTCGAACCAGCAGTCCTGGGAGCTGGCACAGTCACAGCAGGCCATGGTCAAGACGGAAAACAGGACCATGTTTTCTCCATCGCTGCCAAAGAAACCTCATGTGGAAATCTCCCGGAGTGCCGTCCCTATAGTGGCAGCGCCTCAACTGCGAAGCCTTCTAGCTAGAAAATCTCCAGCTACGAATTATTTAAAGTCGACGCAAAACCAATGGTGAGGATAAAATAAAACGATAAACCATTGAGTAGAATTCCATATTTTAGTTCTCATCTATACTTGTACAGTGAGAGATCTTACTCTATTGAATTTACAATTCTGGCAAAATTCAAGTACTCCAACGATAGATGTGAAACGTGTGTAAGGTATTATAGTTATGTTTTTTTCGGGTATTGATGCATTGGCAGCTTCATGAACAGCAGAGTGCAGGCGGATTCTTTGGCAACGCCTTTGACAGTGGACGTTCTCCAGTTAAGCCAACATCAACGGCTATATCTGAGTCCCACCCAGGAGATAACAGCATACAACAATGGTAAACGCGATTTATAGCTGTTTCGTACTGACGATCGTTCCTTAAATTCACTCATTTTTTAAAGCTTCCTTGCTATATAACAGTACAATGAACTGTGGTATGAAGCACTAGTTTGATTCAAATAAATCTACTGCCAAGCTTATTCACTTCGAACCATTGCTAGGAACTTCTTTATTATCTTTAACTGGAATTGATTATATAATCAAGTTGCATAAAAAATCGTTTTAGCGAAGTTATTAAAAAGATGAGTCGGAGATACGTTGATTTAGGTGTGATTGAGATATTATCTAAAATGACTTTTCTCTTTTAGTAATCATAGCGATCTCTATATAGAAAGTGTTTTTAAAACTTAGACTTCTTTTATAACTTGCTTGTATTGCAGAAGCGCCGAAGCCTCAAAAAGTGCTGCCAAGTTTACCTGCCTTTAGCTCATCATTACAACAGAAGTCACTATATCAGCGAGGCTCAGGAGCTTCTGACTACAGCCTCGCAACGCAACTGCATGATCAGCAACAACAACATGGCCAGGTAAATTATCACAAAATCGCTACTATCATCACTGGAATGGTGGTATTTACTGAAGTACATGCTTCAAAAAGTACCGCTTGTACCTGTAGCTTTTTCCTATATTTTTTGGTATTAAATTCGTATAATCGATCCTTCAATCCTCATGTAATACCGAGATCGAATGCTCGTGATAATTTGTTTTTTTCTATTTGTTGTTAGCATAAAGTGAAATTTCCACATAGCCATTATAATTACATACGTCAATAAACACAATTATTTTTATGTTTACCTGTCCAGAAGCTGGCTCCGTAGCACGATTGAAAATGTACTGTTTGTACAAGAAAATGAAGAAAAATAAACACAACACTATCAAAGTGAAAATGAGTCGATCTAGTTGGCTAAGATTTGTCTGTAAAACTATAAGGGAAGTCCCGCAGGTTTAACACATTCTCAGCGACGTCGTACCATTTTTACTAATGAATCTTGCTGATCTGAACTGAAATTAGCCTTGTAGCAGAAGTTTTATCAGAAAATGTACTATGATTCGTATATGTGGAACACTGGCAACATCCTTACCTTTTTCCAAATCATGCCTCTGTCGGTCGATAATCTGTTGTGTAAGTTTTATGAAAACCTTTCAATTTTTTTTTCGCCAGGTGGAAAAAGTATTACCTCCGCTATCCGCAAGTACTCAGGCGGTAGATCAGGCATCGATGGCGAACGTTGAATTGCCACTTGCTCAACAGTCACGACAGGTGGTCGGTACCATCCCACCAAATACAAATGGCGTTTGCGCAGGTCTTCCCGGGCCGGTAAACGATACCGCGATGTCGAATTGTAGTGCGCTGAACGGACTCGATCTGTTCGACGCGCAGACTGACGGCTCGCCGCTAACGGGCCCATCGTCAATAACAGAAGGGCCTGGATACCCATCTTGGCCAGCTGTCCAGTGTTCTGCTCCACTTGGAGAGGCTGTACCTAATACAAAAGGCTGAGCGCCTTAGAAAGGACCTGCATTGGCGCTATATCGAGCTGCGATGTTCAGAATGCTTTGTTGCACACCGCCCACGGATCACGATGTGTGCATCGAGTGTACAGAAGACCGTCAATCCTAAACGGTGTTGCTGCGACCTTTTGTAATCGTCCAAGTTGGCAAGGTGGACGAAGTTTTGCAAAGAAGGCTCTTGGAGCCCTCGTTAAAGACAGATCACGTTCGGAGCTTCGTGTCATGGCACTTTCATTCTACAAAGCAGGCATGCAGAGTTACTCCATACAAATATGTCGTAAGAGCGATGCAGCTATTCATTGAAGCTAGTGTGCGTTCAGGCCAAGTGCAATGTTGCAACATTTGTTACGAATACGTAAAGTTAATTGGAAGGTCATTGGGTGGTCGTTTTCTCAATGGTGTCGCAAGTTAGTGCTAATTGAACTTGCTCTCGTAGAAGTTATGGTGTGCGAGACGTAACGCATTTGGCTGGAAATGACATTCTTGTCGACGGGGTAAGCTTCCTCAGTCATCGATTCTAACGTTACGCAAAAAAGAACATTCACTCTAGTAGCATTCGTACACATTTACGTTAGCCATTTATTAATATATTCATTTAGCTGGTCGGTCGATTTGTCAGTAGAAGCTGGAACAAGGCCGGCCCTCGGATCCGAGTTTAAAGGGACAGGTCTGTTGTAAATATTTGATGAGCGACTCTATTCTTAATTCTATGATTACGCTCCATCCACTACTGGTATATAATCAATATTCATATTATGTTATTATTATATTATTCAGATCGGATACAACATATTCGTAACTTTATTGTGCTTATCTAGATAAGTAAGGCTACCGATCTGGTATAAAAGCTATCACGATTATTATTATGATTAGTATCTTTAATCTCAGATCGTCCAAAGGCAACTATCGCTACAACAGTTACCTAAACAGTGGAAAATGCGGATTCACGATTCTTTTGTTTGCCAGCAGCAAGTTTGAATTAATTTTTTCGATAGGTTCACAATTTAGGAAACGACTCAGAAGTTGAGATAAAATCCAAATTAACCTGTTATCTACAAAATACGTATAAGACGAGATAGACTACCTTCTTCGCATATCCGCTCAGTAGTTGTTGCTCTGAATTGTTTGGAACGATCGCGCAAACATTGGCACCGCCCCTCGTAGTGCCCCAACGTGCCTCGTGTAGTCGTTCGGCGATGTACATACCCAGGAGTATATATATATACATACATACATGATTATATATACGTACATATATTAGTTTATACCTGCGGACGATTTTACTCATATGCATTATACATAATATATACATGCAGATCGTGTGATCTGTGATCATCACTTGACCTAGAATTGACGGCTGGCTATAGTGTGCCACCTGTGGCAACCGGAGAAATTCTGCGAGTTTACAATACTTTCGCTTGCACGCTCGGACAGCTTTCTGCGTTGATAGATTTACGCGCCTTGTTTTCGTAATATCCTACCTCATATTACCGCTAGTTATTCTCCTGTGTTCCCCGTACGATATTTATCGCAACGCCGTTCTCTTAATAACCTAACCTACTATAAATAAATTATTACTACTACTTCCGTTAACATTACGCAGCTGTTGCTCGCCTTTTTCTAACGTGGTCTCCCAAACTGTTTGTGTCCTAGTTGAGGGAACCTTAACAATAGCAGCAGTGTCCGACTTTGTTCGTGTTCAAGTACATCAGGTTTCCATTGAAACGGGACTTTGTCTCGTTTTAGGAGCAATATCGAAGCTTCAATCGCTCGTTTCGCCTGTCATCTATTGTACTTAAAATGCGGTGTACCTATATATTTGAAAGATTGTTTGTTGTGGGACGTACCAGGACAAATTAGAACTATAAGCGCGGGCTTTAATCTATGGTGTGACATCTCTGTTTATGTGACTCCAATACCTAACGGGACATTCTTGGTTAATGCTTGAACTTGTCCGAGTTTCAGCTAGTCCGGTGAATTAGAAGGCGGAGATGCGGGACTTCAACAAAAAAGTTGCAATACTCTTCGATTTCAAGTGCAAACGAATGCTTGCTTTTACCCCACCTAATATAGCAGCAGGATGATTGGAACGGCAACATAGGTATACGTAATTGTAATGATGGTTATGTCCTTTCTAACCCAGTCCAGTTAATGACACTATGTCCGAGCAACTAGTCACAATGCGAGTTTTTCAAGGGAAAAAATCGAAATGTTGTTGTTGTTATTTTAACGTTCGTGGATAGCTAGCCATAGCGACGATTTTATGTTATTACTTTTGCACGATCTGGTGTATCGCAACGCTATTCCTGGCAGCTTCCGTGCTTTGTCGCATTGTACTATGCATGTAGCTTGGTAAATTTTCTGTTTCAATTATCCACTGGTTTCGTCGCGCGTGAGATCGGCATGGCACTTGCCTTCACGTTTCAGGCTGCTCAGTCACCTCGCCTATTGACGGCCTGTCGAACTCGGTCTGCCGTAGCGGCAGACAATGACGCTATCGCTCCACTATAGAAACGGTTGCTGAAGGCGGTTATCGATATGGCGTTCTTGCGCAATGAAAGAGCGTAAGCCTTTTGTAGAAGAAGTGAGATTGAATGGCTGGAGAACAGAGCTCTGTAGCGAATGCCATTGCTTAAGAATTAATCTGTATTGCTAGTACTACTGTCGTTTACATGAAAAACACAATAAAGTTTGAGCCTAGTCGTAAGTGGAAAAGCGAACCAGAGACGGATACGGCTTTTAGTGCAGTTGTCTAACACTATCAGACTCTTCCATACGTGTCCTTTCTCCATAGTACGATTGCCTGCAAGTCAATATTGACAGCAGAGAAGGTCTTTCATCGACATCGAACAATTAGAGCAACAATGATCATGTCCTAGTGCAGCTAGTATTGTGTTGAGAAGGGCAACAAATATTTCGGGCACTCTATGAATCGAAGAAGTGATTTTGTCGTTGACACTTTGGAATGGTTTGCTTAGAGGCTCGGTGTGACGCCGTAATTCTCCCAGCCATTTATGTGAACTGGATATCAGTTATCTATTGAACCACGGCCTGTTATTTGGACTAGAGATATTGAAATTTTTAATATGCAAGCGTATTTCAATGTGCTCAGTAATGATCTCCTTCATAAAAGGCTCATATGGGAAATAAATTTTTCTAGCAATGCTCGTCTTCTTTGGCTGGATGAAAAATTTTAGCGGAACCTGCTATGATTTTTTACATTTAGCCTCAGCACGATCTTCTGTTGTGCATCATTATATAGTTTCGTGTACGAACAAGCGACAATTAATTTTGAATCAGTTAGGGCAATGCGTGTATCGTGATCGCCAGTAATATCAGATGGATGGTTCTTTGAGCATTGTGCTCACTTGCCCCCCATATCCCTGACGTCAGAACTGCTGCTGAACGCTCATAACCATCGTCGACATGTTGACGTTGGGATTTGACCCAATGCAAAACGTCTGTGCATCCTGTACAAAACTCCAACTGCTACATTCAGCTGCAGCAGTTAATTTAATTCGATAGGCGAATGGCTCGTGAACGTAAGCCAGGAGCGAAACGAAGCTGGCTGGTCGCGAGTGGTTCTATGCCGGTGTCCTGTTATGCATTGGCCGACCGGTTTGTGGTCTACCAGTTGTCCCTATACAGTACACTAAATAATCCACGCTACACACCATATATAGACTGACGCTTCAAACTCATTGAGAGCTACGAGCTCTCGATTGAAAATGGCTGCTGGATCCTCGCGTACGGATGCATGATCCCTCGGTTACAAATCAACAACTGGAAACGAACGGAAGAACGGCTTTTCGGGAAAGTAGTCCGAAAGGATGAACACGATTAGACGTACAACAGTTAGGCGAGAACGTACGAATGTCCGAATAACGTAAGCTTAACTACGGGAGACAGACTTCAAGCAACGCTATACGTTTGCTGCGCTTCTTTCTCTCTCTTCAATGATGTGAACAGCAAATGTCATCGTTAATCAATGCTCGTCCCAAACCGCCAACGTAATAATATCTATATGTTATATGTGGGGCGGGTCAGCAACGTGTTCTGTGTTCTTGCTAATAAGTAGGCGTGCGTATCCGCGGGAGTACATGCATTTATGAACACGGCTGATGGCGACTCAGTCAGGGCTACTTACGGACCTTTCATGAGGCGGCAGCGAACACGAGCAGACCTTTTGTCCTCTTTATGTTATTTATGTTTGTAGCATTTGTGTTCTTTGTAGCACAAGCGTGTGAATGCCTTTTTATGTTGCCCCAATCGGCGCGAATTCTGCATTATTCCCCTGTTGTTATTATTCTAGGTCTTGTTGTCCCAATTATTTTTGGCTACAGGCGTACTGGGTGAACAGAAAGGAATAGTGAAGTCGCCAAACGAAGCGATGGGCCAATACTTTAATCGGCAACGATCTTGTAAAGCAAAAAAGAGTAAAAGCCTTGCTTCTTTGGTCGGTTGATCGCGCTTATACGACAAACAACGTCGGATGCCTATTTCAATTAACGACTGTTCCGACATCATTTGCAGAATGCACACGTCATCTTCCTTTGCCATAAAGTCTCAGATGTACTGTTTTCCGTCTGAGTGGAACCTTTCGTTGTTGTGTAGCAATATCGTGTCGTATGGTGAAGCTGAGCTAGACTTTTGCTCTCAATTGTTATTGGTCTCAAATGAAGTAGTCATAATTATTTAGGTACACCCTTCAAATGTTCCAATGGTCACTGACATCATGTTGATTGTTACTATTTATTTGATTCAATTATGTTTTCAGTTCATTAGTCTGTATCGTTTATTTCTTCTCCTTTTGTTTTTTATTCCAGTTGTGTCTTTTTTAGCCATACCGTTGCATGTGTGCTCTGTGCAATAGTGGGGGCAAGATCATGGATCTAACCACGTAGCGTATGTTATTAGTTGTTCGAATTTGTGAACACCGTGTTTACTCATGCAGTAATGAATAATTTCTCACAGTTGTCCTTTGATTGTGCTCACCAATAACCCCTAAATGTGGTAGATGCGGCATTTAGCGTTTTGTAGCTAGAAATTCGAGTCTGCAGCTAAGCTGTAAGGTCGAAAGTGATTTGTCTCGCTTATTTTAGATGCGTTTGTTTGGCATGCGCAGCTAAGCAATGCTTACAGCCGTTCTCTGGGAGTTAGCCTCGAAATCTTAGCGGTCACAGTAATTGCTGCACCGTGCGATTTACACTTTTGTTTTTTTTCTTTACTGTGACGCCACGTTTTTTTGTTTGGATTTCCTAGTACAATCCCATTTATGCTTTATGAAATCGCAGACTGATGACCCAGTTGGCTGTGGATCAATAAGACGTTCTACGTTCTAATGGTCTAACTAACATAACGGTCATTTTCATCATCATCGCTAACTCCATGTACCTGCAAGTGTCGGACGCATGCGATTGTATTCATTTATACTTTAACATACACGTAAAAACATAAATAACCCTATATTTATCATAACAAGTATCGTCTATCATATTCTAGAATATGTGAAACGCAAAAATATTTTACAGTGGAACATATCCGTCTATGAACAGGTATCATGAAATACAATTTGAACAAAAAAATTATAGAAAATCCGAGGAAATAGGTCGATGAAACGTAGTGAAGATGAAACGAATGAGGTTTACATTTATTTGGATACCTAGGTCTGTGATGGGGGCGACGTTTGAAGACGAGATGCGTAGGAAAGCTCAAATTATAGTCAAAACTATTTGTTTATTCTACGGCCGCTACTAGATAGAAGATAAATGGGAGATTATCAACGGAGATACAAATTGTTCGGAAAAGCTCTGATTGACTTAGAAGCATTTTATAAATGAGTGCATGATTTGTTTCATCGAACTAGCAATAACTTCGGTTTTTGTGCCAATATAATGAGCGTCGTTTATTCTATAAATATAATCTCAAGCTATTACCGGATCATTATCGTTACCTCAATATATGCCCTATTTGTATGATGTTTATTACCAATATTGGGAAGGCTGTATATTTTTTTATGATTTATAGCATTTATTTTTCTCGTACAATACGCGGCTATATATACATCATGGTCATTGCTCTGTCACAAAATTACTCACACAATTAACGCTAGTGTCACAATACATATATATATATATATATATATATATATATATTCGGCCGATTATCTATATGATATTTACTCAGCATTTACACATATAAATATACGCATGTTGCTTTTTTGCCATACTTTGGCCTTATTATTAGTTATATTTTTATTAATACTATTATTATTATTATTGTTGTTATGATGCAGAAGAAAGCCTCAAAACTTTTGCATTGTAAATACAGAAGGAATAAAAGATATATAATATATATGCATACACGTTGATTGGAACAAACAAATGGCTCCTACAAGCAAGAAATAGCACGAAATACACGTAGAGATATACAATAAACATTTTGTCAACAAACGATTTAAGAGGCTAACGAGTTCATGGTTGTTCCCCCGTTGTTAACAGCTGATGAGCTATTCAGTGGAAAAAATTGTGATACGGTCTTTGATGATCCTAAATAAACTGGAAATAATAGATAATAATTAATTATAGAAGAAGTGGTATCGAGTCAAACTAGGAAAAGTAATTGACTGACTAATGTTTGCAGAGATCGACTCCATCGAGTCAAAAATGTTGAAAAAGACTGAAAACTAAAACAAACCTAATCTACCGCAGACCAGTGATTTTTTCTGTACTTCTCCGAGCTCAGTTGTGTAAAAATGCGAAATAGCTAACCTATTTTCCCCATTAATAAAATATATGTGTAGCGTACTTTACAAAAACGCCAGTGTCCAACTGTTCGAAGTGGAGCAAAGCTCATAATATCGAGGCGATCGTTAATTAGCGTCGACGACGCGTGTTTTGCTAGGTGTGTCAATCGCTCGTAGAAACAAATTGGGAAACAACCACTATTGTAAATGACATGGCATGGCATGGCATGGCATACAGTCGTCCATAGGCCGGAAAGTTATAGTTGAGTATTGTTTGCATCAGAAACACACCCATATCCAATAGACAGAATTGTCTAATACACATATGTTATTATGGGTTTCCACTCAATACGTGCAGATCGATATGCTCAGATATGGACAGCCCGTGTTACTGCTTCCTATATGACCCAGTTCGAATGAGTTGAAAATTTGCCGAATGTAGTGAACAGCAGTCTGCGTTCATTGATCCATTTGTGTACTATGCTATTTCTTCTAATTCTGACCACCTGTCGATCAGATTCTAAGGGAGATGCGTTCTAAAGCGCGACTATATAATCAAGACGGGGTTTACTCGATTTTGGCGCCGTGTCGTACGTGTTGCGCACAGCTTACAACGGCAGAGAAAAGCAGGGTTAGCAATGGCAATTAAAATAACTAACAATGGCAACATTGTTGGTTAGTTTTTAAAAATTTTATTTACTCTTATTGCCGAACCTAGCGTGCGTATTTTTCAGAGCGGACTTTTGGATTGACGCAACGGTTCGAACGTTTCGATGTATTACAACGACAAAATAAAAACACAGTTTAAAACTTGCGAAAAAACCATGTAATCGCTCAACCGCAACTGCTAAGGAGGTCCTGCGTTCATATATTTCTGGTATGTAGTGCAATCAACTGGCTCGCGGAAAAAACGTGATCATTTACGCAGGTACATAAACACACAAGGATTATAGTGGTTTACAATAACAGTGTGCCGCTTGATTACAGCTATATATAGACACATAAATGACAATTATGGACCGGATAACCGAACGATGAATGCGAAAAATATTGGAACAATGGCTGATGAATTAATACGACCGCTGTTTAGATGTCTTCAGCAAGATTATAAGAAAACAACGAAAGTAAGAAGAGTGCATGTTGTTGTGCGTTGATGAGAATGCATAGTTTATACACAGAATAAAAATGACAGCGCGATGAAGAATGGACGTAAGTGTTTTTATTACAAGTGGTGATTTTTTTTAACTAGCTATTACGCCTCATCACTCCACCTTTCGGCATCATCTTCGACCCCCAGTAATACAACAATTTTTGATTGACTATTATTGCTGTTGAAGTAACCTGGCAGGGGTCACTGTGAGCACCATATTTCGTCTTTTTTGCTCATATACATATACATAGAGAGCGAGAGAGAGAGAGAGGAAGAGCTTTGCCCGGTAATTGACGGTTCATTTAGATAATCCGTAATTAGATAATCCGATCACGATTAATAAATTGAATTGCCCCCCCGAATAAATTCGCTTTGTCCGCTCCGGGTTAACTGTGTTACCCGTCGGATATCAAACGGCTGCATTACATGTCTTCGGTGATGTGTTAAGGCAAGCACTGATCAGACACAAGGCAAACACGCTACCAACGTCACAATTTGTTTTTTTATTATTCATAAATCCGAACCGGAATTCTTTTCGTGCTCGCATTTATTTTCGCATCATTTGCAGGAATATTCAGGATAACTTTGAGGATTCGCTCGTTATCTTGCCACTTGTCTTTCTTTTCGCTACGCTGGTTTGAATTTTTATAGCGAGGCATATTTTCTCGACATTTCTAACATTTTTTCTGCAGTATGCTCTGCATTATTTTTGACTTCAGATACATTTTAATTAGACATTATATAGACAACGAACGGATCTTAAATGGGATTAGAGAAAGCACTTGCCGTGTAAACTTCAGCTTTACCGCTTTTTCACACCTAAACCACCTTCGCTGATGAGTAGACTTACCCGTTTCTCTGACGTGAAGTTCGCTTGTGTTATCGCTTGGTACCTATCAAGATTTTGTCCGAGCTCTGATTGTCTGGACATTCGAAAGTCCAAAAAGTGCCTAATGACAGCGCTTTACCTAAATGGAAGAAGTGCGACACAGAAGATCCATAATTATTTCTTTCTAAAAAGCTGACTGTTTCACATTGAGCATTCAAGACATTAAATAGATTTTGTTATAATTCTACTTCTAGTGAATAAGAAATAACTAGCACAGGTTGTTTTGACGATGAAGAACCAATAATACGCGTCTATCTATCGTCAAAATGGATGACTTCTAGTCACTGTAAGTACATAACCGAGGCAAAGGCGGACTAGCTTGTCGTAACTGTTTGAAAGATGCCACTTTTTACACTGCACCGGGTCATCAAACTTGGATGTTATCCGCGTACTGGCATCACCCCTTACAGCCAAAATTGAACGAACTGTCAATCAGTGAAACTGGCAGAAAAATTAAGTTTAGCATTTTTGCCGTAGCTGCTTAAGGTATGTTGTGCCTATTAAGTTATTCATTGTTTTTCAATAGTGCGATGCTCTGCACCAGGTGAAATAAGTGCAGCTATGAAGATTTTTTCTTCAGTAATTAAACTTTACAAGTTGAACAAATTTGATATAGTTAAAAGTATTGCTCAGTAGTCTTGTACTCATAGTATTACTCCATAATAATGTTTGCTACACCGCTATATGTGTAGCTAACTGTTCGTCTAATTATGAATGTGTGAAAACAAAAACGCCAGAAAAGAGTTGCCGAAGGGCCCATTACTGCCGGAAGCGTATGTGAAACACAGAGATTACTTTGAGGGTTCCGCCATCAGTAACTCCCGACGAGGTACAAACACCTTTGTACCCCAATAACTGCTGCTGATGATTGCATAAAATGCTGTTCAGAGTAAAATCAAACGTTTAAATAACATGCTCTATCCTAAAATAAGACTTTCCATGTTTATATACTTGAATAGAGCCTACTGTGGTACGGTGCCTGTGTGTGGTCATTCCCGCAATTACTATTCTGATGTTGATATTTATCAAATAGCGACTTTCGGATTCTCAACGATATTTGAGATTGGAACAGCGGAGGATGTCGAACTTCAAAAAAAAGGACAACACTATTTCTATGGATGGGCCGGCATTTATTGGCGAATTGCAAAAATTTACAACTGAATCTGAGAAAACGCACAGGGGTCCGTGCTATAATGCTCATGCTCTTACATGTTGTCACATCAACTGGTGTATGTTCCACAATATGGATACAAATACAAATCTTTAAATAATACAATTTGTATCTTATATATTAACGACTTATATTTAGCGCTACCCGTCTTGCGGCGATATATACGCACTATAAAAAACAAGTAATTGAAAAGTAAAGACATGTGAGTAAATACGCGTAATGGTTGAAACATAGATGGCGAAAATCTGAGTTAACAATTGCTCGTACGCCCGTGAAAGAGGTGGTCTATCGTTACGATGAAGAAAGCTAACCGCGCTTGAATTACGTCTATCGGAAAATTCTACGGGGCCTTCGGTAGATAAGGTACATGCGATCGTACCTTCTCGAAAAAGGCCCCGAGCAGGAAAAAGTGTGTGAAGTAATTTCGTTGCACAATGAAATGCAATTTTATTCTTAACTAAATTACGAGATTTCCAATCCTTCGGTCACAAAAAACAACTTATTTTACTAGGCTTGTGATGTAAACCTCACTCCAAAGATATTATCGCCCGTTCAGAACCTTAGCATGGCTTGGAAAGTAAGAGAGACAGAAATAAAATATTAATGAGCGGATCACTTTATGGAAGTCTTCTTCTTTTGATGGAGGGTCTATCGATTACGCAAATATGTAAGGCGTTAGCGTAATCGAACGGCAAAGAGATGATTTTGAGAAAAGACGATTGGTCTTTTTATCAATTTCCGTTAACAGATACGGTAGATCGACTTTTTACAGTTAAAGATCTATCTTGTTCGAATCAATAAAAAAATTATTAAATAAATTACTAGTCGCCTTAGCACCACATTATACGAATTCGACACCTTTCTCTTCCTGCGTCTAGCTCAGAGCCTTCTATAACAAATAGGTTTAGTATGCAGCACTCTAATCATAAAATCTCTAGCTGACCTAGCAAGACACCTAAGTCACTATAATAGGCCAATCAAACGGGCACCGTCGTACACTGGGCTGAACCAGCTTGAAGAGGAAGTCTTTAACCCATGCCACTGTCCTTGTTAACTAAATTCTATATTAACGCGAAATTTCAAAGAAGTAATGTAAAAGATAAATATAGTTTGGATGTAAAGTATAACAATTTTACATCTGTGGTGTCATTATCACTACGAGGGTCCCCAACGTCCGTCATTGATGAAGGTCATCAAAACTCTGTCGGTTATTTTTCTAATCGCAATCAAAAAAAATAGTTTGTTTCAAGCTCGACAGTCATTAGAACTAGTTAAATGTCAGAGGGCCTATAATACACGATGTATTTTGTGTTGAACTGGTACCATTATTTCTGTATTCGGAGTTCCGATATGGGAATAGCATGAATAGATATTTGTAATCACGGTGAAAAATACTAATTCAAATGGTATAACATGGATCAAATAGATTTTACAAACTCGACAGTATTTTATAGCTTAGTTTATGAGCTTTTTTATCATATACTGTTTTTTTTTTTATTTATACTTTTTATCATATACATTTGCTGGTTAAAATCAGTAGCGCTGATGATAACTGTCGTTTGTTGTATCGAGGTGTACAAATTATCACTGCAGGTAATCGGGTTAGTAATTAAACGTTAGTTGTTCTTCCAAATTTTCCCGTTACTTAATGTAAAAAATTTCAGTCATTTTATTGAAGGTTTATTTATGTTAGCTTGAATACCCAACACTGGCAAATATAATAGGTTTATTCTTGCATTTGTCAGACAGGTCACGTAAAGCGCTGTTGAAATGATAACCGCGCCCCCGTTCACAAAATGCATTACCATACACGCCTCAGATCATCCAGCAGTGACGTCCGCTCCGCCAGAGCTATGAAAGATCGCTAAAATGAATAGAGCACTCTAAATAGTGAACTATTTTGAAATATATTTTGGATAACAAGGTCAAGATAGGCATCTTACGATAAAGGCAGGTTCGATAAATAGAGATTAAGTGAACGCAGTTTATCTCTTTGATTTTTTGATCCTCTAGTAAATATCCTAACAGCAATAGGAATGGTGGTAAAACAGTAAGCCACCTACCTTCGTACAGGCAAGTGATTAACCTCGAAAAGTGACTACTAGGTAACACTAATTAACCCTCTTTACGATTTTCATAGGTAGTCGGTTTGATTTGAGGTTGGCCTCAATGCTGCGTACAGAAATTCAAGGCTACTGAATTACGTGTCACTCGGTGGTCAACGGATTAAATGAATTATTTTCGTACTCTTACCGCAAAGGTTACAACTTCGAAAAAACAAATATTTACAGCTACCGCCGGTAAGTTCAGAGTCAATGGCGTACGCTGGGAGAAATGACAAATTGGCGCAGTAGAGGATACGACAGGGTCTGTAGTTTCAATGAAGGCAGCTTCGCACCTGAACGGAAATGTAAGTGAGCACTCGATACTGCCTGCACTTGCGCTATCAAAACTGCTCTCACACATATATTTTTATAATCCTTTTTATTCACAGGTAACAGTAGATTCCAGGTAGTGTACAATCACATGAGCTGACACTACGTGTCTGCCCCAAAAGACGCGGTTCACGCAATGAGTAATATAGTTTAGATTCGGAGTGCGGTTGGTATCGACGGCGTTTTAGCTCAATCAATGACCCTGTAACAGAAGTCTATTGTTGGGCATATATAGGGAAATATTCATCCTGCCTTTAATCCTTTCGGCCTACCTGCTTCGACAAGCACGAACCTTTGGAACGCACTTTTCCGTAAATCACTGCAAACTTGTTGAAGTAAAACGTAGCTTGCGTCCATTTACATCAGTTAAACAGAACGGCCTAAAAACCTGGAACTTGTTTACAGTAGTTCATCATTGAGATTCGAGCACAATATGGTACGTACTTTGTTCCCGATCAGATATCGAAAGTTGTTAAAGACGAATTAGAAGCTGGTAAGAAAAAAATACGATTTGGATCTACAAGAGCCTTTTAGAAAAACGTTCACTAGTTGTAGCCTAGATACTTCAAATAATAAACCAACCTAAGACGCCTAAATATATATTGTGTAATGAAAAATTATGCAAGAAATCTAAGGAAAAGAAAACTATATCTTTGCAACGTTTGAAAAAGAAGATGTTCTAGTACGAACGCAGAAGAAACGAAGCAAGCAAAACAATATCTGTATCCAATGTCGTGTAAACTGCACACATGAGGTATTGATTTGACTGAAGATATTCAGCACCCCGATATTTACTTGCCTGACGGTACTTGTTATTATCACACGTTGTTTTCGCCGATAGCTTCATAGATATTTGACGTATACATGTAAGTGTGCAGCTTCCATTTTCAGGACAATATTCCTGTGTACAGTTTAATCAGGCTTTTGCCAGCATAGTAACATTATCTGGGGTGATCATCGTATTTTCTGGGATATTCATATCGACTGGCGAGTGAAGCTAACTCTGTCTGTCGAGTCCGTTAATTGTATCTAACCCTAAAAGCGAAATAATTACTTGAGCCTAACAATAGCCATTGCTTGATGGCTGGCTCCAAATGCTATTATAGTAATTGACGTTCGCTGACAAATATAGAACATCTATCGAAGATCGTCGACGACTTGATCGCGTCATGCATAGCGATTAACGACCAACACAGAGTCAAATTCAGCCTCATTAATAGTACAGAGTTTCTAGCATTTTGCATGATTGTTTGAAGTTGAAAACTTGGCCGTTACAGCATATACGAACACTCGATAGAAATATAAATAGCCACAGGCTTTATCCGCGCGGCACTAAATCGATGACACAGGTATTTACCAGACAGCGCCTATCGAGCGGACTCGACGCTTTTAGATCCCTGATAGGTCCTAAATAGAAAATGCAACTACTGAGTTGTAATTGGTAATTCTTATGCATGAAATAATGTAAATACTTTTCTCGAACACTTACGCTTTCGTGTATAAATAGAACTCGTGATACGGTAATAACACCTTGATAGCCCTGTTGTTTTTAAGGAACGAATACAACAACGAAGGTAACACGATCACAAGTGAATATACAGTCAATTATGAACAATGTTGCTTTAAATAGATCGCATTAAAATGGTCTATGTCAAGCATTAACGTAAACCATTCTTAAAGTCATTAGGCTTTTATAGATTTGCTAGACTTATCAGCGGTTTTTTCAGTGATTTGTTATTTCATTATTCTACTCTCAGACGGTAAAGACAATGCTTTGTTTCCTTTTCACCTCATGACCTCTGTCGTAACAATTTATTTACAGTCTTATATATACACTACAGCGTAGTTCAATACAGAACCCTCGTCGGCCTTCCTAGCATCACATCTTGTCAGTACAATATAATAATAATAATTTCCATAGTATATAATTTCTTCGCTTCGTTTCTACCTTTCGCAAGCTCATTCGCTCGATCTTCGTTATCCTTTGCGCTTTCCACCTGACACTCGTACCTCCGCATTGACTCACAGATTTCGAAAGAGCCGTGGCAGCGAATTATCGATCCGATACTTTGTTTTGGCCTCCTTGGTAATCTGCGAACAAACAGACCCGCGTACGCTCACAAACAACACAGTCCTCATCCACCCGCCCAAAGCAGATGTCACGGTCTATAAATGTCGCTTTAATATTCCCCGTTTCTAGCAGTTCTTTTCTACTATATTCGAGCATCAGAATAATTCTTGAAGAGATGATGTTTACATTCAGGACACTTATTCTTGATCGTTGGCAATTTTTTTTTGCTTGTTCCTATGTTCATGACGAAAAACGGCCCACAAATTTAACTCGCATTCTGAGCATGAACGCAAAATGGCTTATTCAATCGAGAGATTTTTAGCTTCCTCTACAGGTAAAAGGCTAACCTATATTTTTTCTTTCTAAGAACCATTAATTTCGAGCCTTTACCAAAGGTTTCGTATGCCAATAAAATCGTCATGTGTGAACAGTATACAATTAACTGGGTTAAACGGATTATAATTTTACTCCCGTTGTTACGCCGAAGTCCATTGTTACTTAATTTCTATGTGGCACCCAATGGTCAACTTATATCACATGGCTATATATTTATTAGCTCACTGTTGTTGGTTGATATAATCAAATGCCACAGGTTAGAATGTTTTAAGATAAGCTACCGCATTGCTTCAACCAAAATGGCCAATAACGAGTTATTGAAGATTAGGTCTTCATAGGCAACAATATTGGAGGTAAAAAGAATAATTATAAATTGGAGTTATTTCTAATATTAATATTGATAACAACGCATCTAACATGGAATCCAATGATCATTATCGAGAACATCAATTTTTGAATGAATTTCCCAATACCTATCATGCTGTTACGCGGTAATAACCTCTAAATCGATTAAAGAATCAATAATAATGAACAGACAAAATTTACGTTCAATCGCCATGACTCAATGATGAGCCATTCGTCTGTGCGACGAAAAAGTTTTTTCGACTGAAACCTGTAACGACCGTATGTATAAATGAGCATTGACCTCACAGTATAAATTCTCCGTCTAAGCTAGGAGAAGAGGGCAGATATTTGCCCTGCTGCTATTATCTTTTTTGCTACCCGCAATTATAACACTAACCCATAAACTATAAATTATTATTCACAATAATCAGCTCGCTCGTTGCAATCATACATCCTAACACCGATTAATTGCTCAAACAACTTTAGGTTCTATATAGCATCCTGTTCTCATTTCGTTTGTCGTCTCTATTCAAACATCATGCAAATCGTTCACCCGAAAAAAAAAAAAAAAAAAGCAGTAAATTTTTACACGTTCACCTTTATCTCTATCTGTACACTGTGTTATTGAGCGCTTTTTCTAGAACAAACACATCTACACTATCAAGAGTTCTCTATACAGTGCTTTATATCTTGTTAACTATAAACAAACGTCTCCGGCAAATCTGACTAAACCCAATTACCCTCGCAGACAACTGTTCCGATAACCCATTGCAGTACCACTTTAATGGCAAAAGAAAACAAAGTTACATAGGAACTATTATAGGAAAATATGCAAGCTGAACACAATGTATACATTACGGTGCCAGCAAAATGAATCGAGCGTGCTAGGGAAAATCCATTGTTCAACTGCACAAATGTCCTACGAATTGAAAAAGTTATTTGAGAGTGATTCATTTTTGTACGAAAACTTACTTTTTTTCTTTGTCCGAATTTGTTGAACATACATAAATCACTTTATGCTATATTTATATTATATAGTAGTAAACGACTATAAGCGGTGCAGGATTTTCGTAACACAATCAAAACCCATCGAAACGATCAATTCAATTTCAGCAATCTGTTTTATCGAAGTTAATATTAATACTGGCAAATTCAAGTTTTCGTAAAAGTTGAAAAATATTTTACGAGTTCTGCTTTAATTAATTACCTTTGAAGAAGCCGTACCAACTTGCACGTTTGTCTGCTTTTTCTCAGCGAAGCATACGGTAGTCGTGCAGTTGTTTATTTAATTAGCAGGACCTATAGTAGGCATCGCAAGCCGACTGTCAAGTAGCACGGTGGCGAGCACATGCTTTACTAGTTACTATGAAAGAGGCACTGAAAGCAAGCGAAACGACAGTGACACAAATCAAAGAAAATCTCGAAAATACTACATACGACATTACTAAACACAAACATATACACACACACACACACACACACTCACACACACATGTACACGCGCGCTAGTTTTTAAGAGAGGTCTCACCAAACAACCGATCGGTGCCGAACCCTTTTAGCACAAACCGTAAAGGCCAAACATTTTCAACAGATGGAACTTGCGAACGTTGTTAGGGCTTCCGGATCGTACATAGTAACTACTTCCTTTTTTGTTTCGATTCGGGGACACAGCCGCATTTTGTGACCAGCACTGTAGTACCAGCCTACTTTTGTTTCTTAATGCTTGATCTCCTGTTCTTGACACGCCTAACCCCCGCTCTTTGTCTAGTCTCTTGCCTGATATCGTCATCGCCAAGTTACCTCTGGGCGTTAACACTTTCGTCTTGTTGATGCCGTCGACATCTGCTTGCCTACCTGCCTCTTACAGCAGTAACAGCTACATCACCTTTCGCTGCTGCTGCTGCTGCTGCTGCTGCTGCCGCCGTTACCGCTATCGCCGCCATAGCCAGCGCTAGTTTGCCGTACTCATCTCCCGCACTTGATAGCTCAAGTTCAATATGTTTTGAACTTGGCACGACTAAGCCCGCCGTCGCACTTACGTCTTGCCTGATTGCCACTCCGCCAACACAGCCACCACTCTTGAAATCACCACAAATCTTATCTCGATTTTCGAACGCCTTCGATCCTGCTATAGCCCCAGCAGCAACCTCGCGCCCAGCCTGCTCGGCTAATCGTCACCGAGCGAAACCAACAACCGGCTCGTGCTTAAAGCAGAGCTCCCGGTCCGAACGGAGCTGAAAAATAGGGTCGACTCCGCTGAGATAAGTCTGCTGGCGTCCAAATTCACCTATATTTCACCCCATACCCCCCTTCCTCCCTCTTTGTTTCAGTTTTTTTTTTGTTTGCGTCCCTTAATCGCTACAGCAGCGTCAACCAGTTCGACTAAATTCTACAGAGATGTACACAGCTTTTCGTAATCTCTCACTGGAACGCTTTTTCCCATTCAGAGCATCTACAAACGCTCGAAGATACAATAATAACCAACAGTTCCTCCCTTAATACTCCCCAACCCGATGTGGGATCTGTTCGTAAACTGGTACATAGACGTAAGCACACCGATCGATCAAAACGAATCTTCTATTTTTTCAACAGTGTTGTCTATTACTAGCCACCCCTCGCGTATCTGTCATAGCTTGAATTCTTTTGTGTGCATGTACCTGGCTATCGCGAGTATCGACTTCTTTTAAATCCTACAATTTTTTAAATCCATAGGTTTGTTTGTAGACCAACCCACTGCCGCATTAGCTAAGCAATCTTCTTCCTAACGGATTTTTTTAACTCTTATCTGAAACCACCAAATATTTACGCCATTTTACCCCCATAAACATTTTTTGTCCAGCTCCATTCAAAAGTCAACACGTTTAAGCCATGCGAGGACGGTCTGTAGCACGCCATAGTACAGGTTGCGTCGCTCGTTAAGTCGGTACTGGTCCTACGAAGGACACCTTTCGTTGAGTTCATTATTTGCCTATCAACCACAGACCACAAACCAGCTCATTCTTTCGTCTGTACTCTATTTCACGGAATAATTAATTCGCTATTCTCTCTTTGTTTGAATTGTCTATGATGTACGATGGCACCCACGATCATTCATAACTCAACAGTACTGGTTAACCCTATCGATGGAAATCTTCTCACGGAAAAGACTCTAATCATCCCATTATTCTGTCGCCTAACTCAGCCTCTCATCTGGGTGATAATCACCTCGCGCAAACTTTTGAAATCGGACATGACTTAGGGCTATACCTTTCTTCTACCACAGGAGTTGTACTGACTAATATCATAAAATTAACTGCAATAGATTCTTTTTCTTGCGGATATACCACTGAAAAACAGCTTTTCATCTTCCCACACGTCTGTTGTTTCGTAGCTTCCTTGACGTGCCATTTTCCTCGATTCGACTAATTATTGTTGTACGTTCAATATATTATTATCATAATTGTCATTATGTCTGTGAAAATTACATTTATGTTCGGGTTTCCTAGCTAATTTTAAAGATGTTGTATGGCCAGGTATCCAGACTTTTCAGCCCCGTTTAGTTGGTTTATTAACACGATCGTGGTTACAGCTTTAGCGGAGAAAATTTTTTCACTAAGATTATTAAGTAAAAACATTAACTACAATAAAATTTAGAGAGCATATAAGAGGCGAGACCGGCTAATTATGACTGAGGTTCGTTGTATGCGATGGCTTTTGTTTCAATTAAGTCAATTTACATTCCGCCTACGTAAAATGCCTGAACATTTAAGCCCATACTTCACACCGTTTTTAAACGCCGACCAGTATGGTCCATTACCGTATAACTGAGGAACTTGCGCGTTAACTGGCGTCAAAACCTTACTAAAACCAGAAGCACCAAAAGCACCAGCATACTTCGTATGGATGTTTCGAACATTCTTCACCAGCACGTAACTTTCACGACTCATTGCGCACCCCTCTATCAGTTAATCAATATGGCAGTGTTTGTGAGATGGTTTTGTTGCGATCTTGCCAGTGGCGCGTCATGGATCCGCTGGGTCAGTAGTCAGTGCGCACGATACCTGTGGAAGTGCAGTCACGCTTTTGCGAATGAGAAAAGAAAATAATTTGTTCATTTTTTTACGCACTAGGCCTTCGTGCTTTAATCGGCTCCATAGTTTATAAGTTTTGCCCTCGAAGGCTAATTCGAAAGGCGAAAGAAGAAGAGATCGCTCAACGATTTTCAAAAAACCGAAGGTTATCTACAAAGAAGGTGATACGGCTCCTCAAAGTTCAATTGACTGTGACCCTCAGATTAATCTACCAAAGTAATCTACGATACTTAGGGCTATTGCCCTACACCGGTTTCGTATACTCACCAAGCATTAACACACAAACATTAAAATTACTTAAACAAGTTACATGGAGAAACCCAATGATCCTAGAACTGCAAGCCTTTATGCAATTGATCGGATCCAAAATATGTCACATATCAATGCAACACGGTCAAACACGGTTAAGCGCGGCATCTAAAAACCGTCCATATGTTGAATACTGAACGTCTCAGCATTACGTTGCTGACGTTGCGACAAGCAAAAGGCCTTGTTGCTCAAATCTTACTAAAACAATCCCAAATTTTCCCCAGCGTGCGTCCACCGGTAAGTCGTCTACTTTCACACGCTGATTTTGCTTTCAATGCAAACAAAACCTATGAGAGCACTATCTGCCTATTTTGCCCCTACACGTTGTGATAGTATGCAATCATTGGTATAATCCTCACTTTTTGCTCTTTTCTTAAAACGTGTTCTTTTTAGTTATCCTATCTACAGTCTCGTTCTTCTTACTGCCGTAATCATGGTCATAATCATCGCCAGATGCAGCAACTCTCTTAAAAACCGTAATTGTTGGATAAGAAAAAATCATGAAAATCAAAGGAACACGAAGGCGCTGACTTTTGGAGGCTAGCGGTCCCGCTCGCGTTTGGTGAGATCGATGTTAATCGAGTATGTGCCAACAATCAACCGGATACGCTTCGCCTGGCTCAGGTTCCCCGACGAAAAAGCGCGACGCGCGCGCGTTAACGGTGACCGATCGCTCCCAACTTTTCGACCAGTTGCGTTTTTTCCAGTAACCCCGCCAGCGGCACCAGCCGCTACAGTAGGTGCTGCTGCCGTCTGCCTGTGTGTATGGCCTACGCCGACGGCTCCGCCTACCTGACGGATATTCGGACGCACCTTCTCGGACGACGGGTACACCTGGTACAGGTGATTGGCATCCATCTTGATCGTCAGCTTCAACGGGCTATGGTCGCGCGACGAGGGGCGATGCAACGAGTTTGCAGCGCTATCCACCTGCTGCTGTTGTTGTTGTGGCTGCTGCTGGCCGCCAAGTTGACGGCGGCGGTGGCCAATAAACTGCTCCGGTGGTTCCCCATCAGGACCGCTTTGACTACTTACTTTGTGAACCTGCAGTTGGCCTGGCCGCGTTCGTGGCTTTGGTTTCTCACCGCTATCAGTTACGACCTGGTTAGTATGATTATGGCCTGCGACTGAGTTTACACTGCTTCCGGCATCGACGCCTCGACCACCGCTAACAGCTGCTGCTGCTGCTGCCGCTTGCGTGGCCTCGCGTGAACCGCTGATCGGCATGAGTCCACCGGAGGCAGCTGTCGCTGACCCTCTAGCCAGGCCCATTCCCAGGCCCGCTGCCGATTTTCGTAATCTAACCCCCCCATGTTCATGGTTCTCGGTGTTACTGTTATTAGTATGATTATGGCTGCCGTGATTTCCTTTAAGAGTACTTTTGCCTGAAGCTGTACTCGTAGTCGTCGTCGTCGTGGTGGTCTGCGACTTGATTCGCGCAGATCGAGTAATGTGCGTTTGAATCTGGTTTTGCGTTCTTTGCAGCGGCTGCTGCTGCCGTTGCTGTTGTTGTTGTTGTTGTGGTGATGATGGATGACTCTGAGGTAGTTGCTGTTGATGACTTTTCTGTTCTTGTTGTTGTCGTTGTTGTTGTTGTTGTGAGTTGGATTCTTCTGTTTTTAACTGGTGTTGTTGTAGCTGTTGTTGCTTCTGGCGGCAATTCTGCGTCAACTGAGAAGCACAATTAACTACATCGAGCGAACTCGTCAACCGTTGACTCGTCGATGAGGGTAACATTACCGAAGACAAAGTTATCCTTGAATTAGAATTATCGACTATTTTGTGACTGCTCGTTTTTGTGACTGCTGAAACACTGCGGTTGTCAGTCACACATGTGGCAGTAACCGCTGTGGCATTAATTCCCTGTTGAGATTTGTCCCCTTTTTTCAGAGAGGTTGTGGAAGATGCATTTTTTACCTCGTAAGACGCCGCCGACGCTGCCGTCATCGGAGTCACAGCTACAGACGTTGACGAATGCGAGGAACTTGTTCTTCGAGCAGATGGTTTTCGAAAACCTGCGACAATTTGAACCCCGCTTGTAGCACTGCTGTGCGTATTTCCATTGCAATTGTTTTCGCTACTGCTGTTGCTGTTATTCGCAACAGTAGCAGCGTGTAGTACGCCGCTTAACGAAACTGGCTGGTCGGCTACGGCCAGTTGTTGTTGTTGCTGTTGAACTATTTGTTGTTGTTCAACAAAAGAAACAATGCCGGGCGACCGTACGTCAGCATGCCCGTTTACGCTAAGAATACGTTTCAGCCTATTGTCGGTTTCTCGGAACGAGTATTTGCGCGCTGTCGGAAGCATCGACATCACTCCGTTCATGGTGACACAGCCACCTGCCTTGCTGTTGCCAATTCCCAGCGCCCCCGGGGCATCCGTCGTATCCGAATCTTCGGTAAGACGAAATGCACCGGCAGCTCTCCTCTCGCATGTGTGGCACTCGCACAGCGAATTCGCATCGCCAAAGAAGTCTTCCCCGTAAAAGCACGTAATCTCTTCACCGGCCTCAATATCTCGAAGGACTTTGACACAGGCGCTATCTCGTCCCGTAGAGACAAACCGACAATTAGCTCGGCAGTCGTGATTGATAAAGGCTGCAGGGCCGAGCCATAGCTGGGCACAGTTCTTGCGCGTCGAGTACATCACGCTGAAGTCGTTACGGCCAGCTACAAGCATTTGCCGTTCCTCCAGCGCACTTAACTCGGCAATGCACCCGACTAGATTTGGGATCTTGTCATTTTTCTGCCAACGTCGGGTGGCGCATAACCGCGCACCCATGTGACCTTCCATGGAGTAACGATCACATGGCAGAATCTCGAAGCCGCTCTCCTTGTCAAACAACCTAAGGTACCGATAAATCTGGAAACAGAATAAGATAGCAAAAAAAGAATTATGGTATGTGTGGAATATAGTTATAAAGAAAAGTCTTTTTATATACAGGCTTTCGCGAAACACTATTAAAATAGGATAATGTAATATAAAAAGAACAAATAGTAGATCATTATAGAAAAGAACAGCTTAAATTATTCTAAGTAATTATTGGAACTACTACTTTGGTCCGCAGAAAATTTGAGATCTATCATATCATATGAAGGTTTCTTCTGCGAGACGCCTACATGCACTCGAAGGGCTTCCCGACGTGCTTTTGAAACATAGGCTGGTGGCAGCCATCCGCCTTTGAGTAGTTTCTCGAAAGCCAATTCGTAGTTGAGGTCGTTGCGAAAATTTTCCACGATTGTACGAAGTTGACCTCGCTGGTTTGCTCGGGTTGGTCGAAATCTGAAATACAAAACATGCATTTATATTTCGGCAAACAAATGCTATTCTGTCATAACGTTGTTCTTATCAGTTTGTAAGGTGATATCTTTAAAAGGAACAAAAATGTCTACCATGACTAGAACAGTACGTTACAGCCGACTATTATCGTGTAAATGATAAGGATCTGTCAAAGGTTATCATCTACAACGTTAACTAGCAATTTGTTCAGTGAAAAACAAAACAGGAAAATCACATATATCAAGAAAAAAAACGCGTGCAATGTTTACTTTGATCTTCCTTTTGATAATCTTCACTAGCTCTAGGTTTCAATTAAAACGCATAGTTCGTACACAATCCACCTTAAGCGATATCATCTGACCTCATTGACGCTCAAGGTCTAAACAGTGCCGCAAAGACGTTCCTCACAACGTCTTTAGCTACGAAATGACTAAAAATTAATTGCACGCATATCCAGAGGCCTTCGTCGTAATGAATTTCCTGATGTAAGCCCAAAATCTTATCTTGCACATCGGCACACAATATAGCACCCTCTTCTCCCCTTGTTTTAGCGCCCATCCAATTTCCAGCTTCCCTTCAATGCCATCTGAGGCGTACGCACAAGCGTCACCCAGCGGCGATGTGCAAACACAAACAGACAACGAACAAGTGACCAATCGCAGACGCCAACAAGAAAATCCTGTTGCGTGTGGTGCACCGTATAATGACCGTCGGAATGTTAGGGCTGGCCATTAGCAGCCGCCTAGAAATCAATCCCCAGGCTACTGTTGCTTGAAAGTATAGCGATAAAACACGAAATGCGCGAAAATTGAAAGAGATATAGGAATTTAAAAAGCGGCCTTTTTATGCTTCCAACCCCAGTCTGTCATTGCGACAACACAACCACAGCATCGAATGCGGAAAAGACACTAAATGGGCAAATATTCCACCATCATCGTTTGCAGGAGTCGACGGCTGATACAGAGACAAGGCGAATGCACACAAGGCTATACAAAATTGCACACAAATCCCCAGGACGTACAGCTTCCCTTGTACGGGTTCACAGATTTGAGCGTACGATGCATTAAACGATAACGGCGCGTTCTGACAAGTGGATGTTTAACGCAACAGCTGGGGATGGCGATCAGTCCGTAAAGGTAGCAGCAATTGCACCAGAGTATATCGACAGTGAGTGACCCGTCTAGTCTCTCGTACGATGACGAGCTATTTGTTCCGTAATTATTTGAATTTATTCATTACTTTCATGTCTGTTTGCTTAGCTGGTTGGTAGCAAGTTAAATTGCTCAACTCGTCGCCATGTACACATAACGTGGCAATGCTGTTACGACGGAGCTGCTGCTTATCCGAAAGTACATAATCAAAGTTTTCTATAGTATGCTAATGCTACGAACAGCTATGAACAGTAGCTGTTCAGAAAAAGAAGGCAAATATAACACAGATCAGAGAAGTGAATATTGTTGATGAAGTTTTTTTTTTTAACAAATTGCCACCGACATTTGCCGTACGTTTCATTCGAACGAGCAGGCGCGTTATAAGCTGTCACATTGCTGATTAATTAACAGCACAAAAAACAAGTCAGGGATATCTAGCAATAAGCCAGAGGTGTTACAGAATCACCTTAATAGTAGATTTATTCAGTGTTTTATCAGTATCAATTGACGTTGAACTCAAAGTTAGTCACCATTATCCAGCTCAGTACGCGCACGCGATATATTCACAGACAAACGTTTCAAGAATCGCTTCAAATATCCGCAGTCAACTATCTGACTATCGCTTTTTGTCGTTGAAGTCTACCACTTTGAAAGGACGTCTGCGCGGTATAACCTAAAAGGTATAACATTATACAGATAGATGTAGATGATATACGAATGTTTTTCCGCTAGCGCCTGCATTCATCTGACGTCTGCTGCCAATTCGCCTTTCATTAGCTCGTCGTCTCGACAAATTATACCTGTTACTCCCGCGTTATTGCCCCTGTAGATGTTCCTACCTGAGGTTCATTTTGTGCGTCTGGAAGCCCAGCCACGAATCCAGTACGAGGCTGGTGGCCAAATCGTCGTTTTCGGCGAGTTCGCGTGCAGTCATACTCAGCTGAAGTTTGTTCGGCGCTCCACCGGCACCTCGACCAGCGGCTGTTTCCGAGCCCATCGTCGCTCCAACGAAACGAACGCCAAAGCAAGCTCGTCTCGCTGCTCACAACGGGCTCAATTACCACTACCGCCTCCACTTCGGGAACGATTGCTGCGGTTCGTACCGCGGCCGTGGTCGAGCAAGCAGGAACCAAAAGAAATCCTACCCTCGTCTTGGGGGCACTGTTGGCTCTCAGCCGTACGAGCTTTATTGGGCTACTCGTCGTAGCCCGACTAAATCATGGACCAGCTCATGTTCAATATTGGCAACATTATAGGCTCGCGCTTTTGCCACACGTGCCTGCCGCTGCTCTTTCTAAGTCTCGTCTGCGTAACTCGTCGACGACTGAATGAAGGTGAAAAAGAAGTAAACAAGGCTGAATGGTAGTAGCAGCTGACGTGTTCCCTTTCGCGAGCTATAATGGCGCTACCCACAATCACTCGTTGATTCACTTGTTGGCGAGAATAGACAGGACGACTAAAGCCTCTAGTACTAATACTTTTAGCGCTGCGGCGACAAACAGCATCATCATCGCTTGACAATTCAGGCAACGTCGCCGACGAACAGCCTCCTCACGCAGTACCACAATTGCCGGCGGACCTTCGTGTCCTGCTCCAACGCAACCGTATTGTCGAACTCGTTGCTTCGTAGTTACCTTTCAATTGTTTCGTTTTACTTCCCTCCCACTATGAACAGTATCTGCAAGGCACTACCACTAACCAACAGAACCACGACTCTCACAGCCTGTTCGCCTTCACACTGTCATTAGTAGCAGTGGAAGTACTTATAGCGAATTCTTGGTCGCTGGGATTCGCACGAAAGTGCCAGCTCAAGTAGTCAAAGTCTTCATTCAATCGATCGTTCATTCGTAGGTTTCGTTTGTTTTGCTGTTCCTTGTTGTTAGTCGTCAACACCTGCATATACACTTCCCCTATCTTAGCTGTTGCCGACTGTCTCTGCTCCTACTGACTGCTGGTCTACCAAATGATGACTTGTTCTGATTTTGTTTCGCCGTAGCTAATCTGTCTGTTGTCCACCGACAATCCAACTTCGACAGACAGAATCAAACACACGCACCGAACTCATAATACACAACATACATAGCACTCAAATACAATAGAGGGAGAGCTAGTAAGTGGGTCTGCGTATGTGTGCCCGTGTATCTCTCTGGGTGCACTGAATGGTTATCGAAACACACGCATGGCGAGAGAGAGAAGGCGGGTAGCTCGTCGGGCTTTCTGGTGTCGCGATGCCCAACTCTTTGACTCGTGCTGCTGATTGACCACTATCCGTCGTCTATGCTCTGTTGTGTTAGATACCTTCGATATGGGCCTACTGCTCGCACAGCGCTATCGTCCAATAGATCAACTAGTGTTGACGGTCGGGGGTCTCTGCTACTTGCACGACTACTGCTGCTGCTGCGGCCGTGTTTATAACAATAACAATATTGCTCGTCTGCCCAGTTCAGTAGATAGAAACAATGCTACCAGTAAATGGAATGGAACTGCTGTTGAGAAGAGAAAACATTCCCTCCCACTTCTGTGCCAGCCGCAATGAAACGAACAGTATACAGTAGCGCAAACCATGTTGACGGCGAGCTGAGAAGAAGGTTCGTTCTGGAGATGGTGGGAAGACTGCTCGACATCGATATGTAATTCGCAGGACTTTGTTTCGTTTATATCCACTTGGCCCGAGGACGTTGGCCTGGATGTAATTGAAGGCACGTACGTTTATTAAAGGAAACTTTCAAAGAAATAATGAACAGTAAAGATTTGGATTTCTTAGCATTTACGAAATTCTCAAATATTATGATATACGCTAAAGTAGGTGCTGGACAAAGCTTACCCCGGGCCTTTATTTCAAACAATTAGCAAAGAAGACGGCTAGAAATCGTGCTGGTCGTCTCTAGGGCTAGAAAGAAGACGCAGGCCTAACAGCACCTTCACACATGGTCGGAATTACAGCGGTCGACGAATCAAAAAAGTCTCATATCGTTTATCATACATGTGCAAATGCATACAAACACATATACTTAAATTATTCATGTGGTTTTATGTTAAGCAAGGATAAAGGAGATCTTTTAATCCACTAATGCGATCGACTAATTACGGTATAAAACACTGGAATAGAACAACTAATCTTTTTTTTTTTTTGCATATATGCGACATTATTTTTGGTCAAGCCTCACGACAATCGGTACATTCCAAGTTTCGGGCAGCGTCCTGTTTTGCAGATTGATAATGCATAGTCTGCATACAAACTAACCATATTTCACGTATGTGCAACTAGTGGTGTGTAAAAAAACGGGGCATTTATCAAAATATCTACAAAATATTTGCAACAGGCCCTAAATTGACTGCCACAGTTTCTGTTTAGACGATCCGAATATAAACATTTTGATTAGAAGTTAGTTCGAGATTAATTCAGAAGACCAGTAACATTACACAAGCCCGCCTTCTAGATGAAGGAACGGTTATACAGTTTGCAGGCAGCTCTGTACTTGGGGGGTTCGAAACAGCGAATAACAGAAGATATTAAGGTAGGCTGACTCACTGATTTAATACAAATGCATTTAGTATTTATTATATTTATTATATATATTATTATATTTAGTATCGTTATTAGGATACGCATTGACCGAAAAAAAAAAAACAGAAGCAAAAAAAAAAACAGAAAAGACCAAACTTCAAACCTTTTTGTAGTTAGGTCGAATGTACCCTGAAAATCAAATTTGTGTAAGAAACTCTTAGAATCCTAACACTGAGATTAAAATCCTCGAGAATCTGTCTGATTATTTATTTTTTGTCTTACTTTAATACTGAATTCTCGACAATTATGTGTACTTCGTCTACATCAGTCTGACGTTATACTTGCACATTAAACGGTTATAAATTACGTCGTTCTGCTTTGCGCAATGCAGTTTTCGATAAATGTATAAATAAAAATTTTCTAAAGAACTATGCAAAAATAAAAACATGCAAATGCTGTCTCCACAGTAATTACAGTTTTATTTGAATAGGGCATCAGCTTGCTCCAGGCTGATGATGACGAAAAATGTCCATCTTCGACCCTCAACCTTGATTGATTGATTACTTGTTCTACAAGAATCAATAAAAAAAAATTTGCGGCAACGCTTTTATTTGTGTCACTCGTCTCTTTAGGATACTAAACTGTTGACACGGTAGCCATTTAATGACAGATCCCCGAATTGTATAATACAGCAACGATGTCTAAAAAAGGCTTCGATATGTGTGCTTCTTGCAGCGCTAACCGGGGTCATCCATACTAACGTGGACAAGATTCTAGATTTACTTCATGGTAAAATCCACAAAAGTAAGAAGACAGTTGTCGAGGATCCGGCCATTGGAAAAGCTGTACACGTAGTTCAATTTGTACATGTTCTCGTCGAAGTTCAAGTACCTCAGCTAGTACTAGTGTACACAGACGTTCCAGTGAAACAGCTGGTGTCTGGCTTCGAAAAGATTAACGTTACAGAAGAAACGATCAAACAAGTGAAAGTCATCAAAGAAGTTCTGCTTCCGTACAGCGTCCTCGTTAAAAAGCCCTATGAAGTGCTTGTTGAAGTACACGTTCCGAAAGCATATATTGTACACCTTGTTTACAGGCATGTCCCGCAGCTGTATAAATCAGCATCCCAAAACCCTATGAAGTGTCTATTCATAAATTTTTGCCGGTAGTTTGACAGGTCCCGATGCTATCTTAATACCAGCAGTGTCCTTGTACGGTAAAAAAAGACAACACTACATTTGTCTGAAATTCTTGAAATTTTGTGCATAAAAGCTGCGCGGCTTGCGAGTCTACGCCAATATGTGAGTAATCTGTCTATATGTAGTGATGTAAGGAAAACCATCTTCTCGACATTCCGCAGTTGCGCAGCAGACACAACTGCAGACGAATACAACTACATTGCATATAGGGAAGGTAATTAGGAGCTAGTATCAGCAACACTCCGCAATGACGCCTCTCACTATATAGTTAGTCTTCGCTATACCTTCGATTTGGGTGAGCAAAGCCAACTCCAAAGATAGTTTTCGTTGATTTGATAACTTCACCTGATGTTCGCTACGATAAGAACACGCCCTTTAATAAGCTCGAGGCCAGAGCTAAATGCGAGTGAAGATCTTACGTTCTAGACAAACTTTTACACAAAATTATACTCGTATGATGAACAATTACTTCCCGAACATAACTCGCCATTTTTCTAAAAGCTTACAAAAACTTTCAAGCGCTTCATATACCTAAACACAAAAATCAAGCTATTAGAGAGCCAGATTTTTATTTTATTTTTAACGACATCCTGAGTAAAGTGCCTTCTCTATCTAATAATAATTACTTTAATAGTGTATGAGATACAGACCAACAAGCGAAAGATACATTCAACGAGATACATGCCAATATCGCGACATATCCAACGTGAAATAGTTCGTCAGTATTAACCAATGACCTACCTATGTAGTAAATTTCGTTTGGTGATCTTTTCTACTGTATATAGATTTTGTATGTACGAATTAAGTCTAATCATATGATTACATAGTCTCAGTTAGATACGTTTTTGATAACCAAAAGATTCGTTTTGCTAGTGGCTTATATACTTCGGACCAAGAAAAAGGCGAAAAGTTTGCGCGGATATTTCATCAAATACGCCTGTTCAGGTAAAAAGACGCAATGTTGAATCTGCGCCTGCGCTTATTAGCCAAGGCTGTGTCGGATGGAACGTGCAATCCAGAACTCCCAGATTATCATGTTGATTGTGTCCGCGCAGGACCTTTACAGGTACAATTAACGGATTCTGCATGAAGTCACTTAAATGCAAAGAAAAAATAAAACGAAGCGACGTAAGCACTTTGATAATTTAACAATAATGCGCACTATATTTGTCAAAGCGACCCTTTGACTGAATATCTCAGTGTTTGCCTAATTTGCACCACTAAAACCTAACTAACTGCATTGTCTCACGTTTACCGCTGTGTGCATCAAGAAACGCTTCAGGTTTCGTGTCCAGTAATGTCTCACTTAATTTGATGGCTTGAGACGGCTGATGGCCCCTTCCATCATGGAACCAAGTGTGTGTACCACTCTGTTTCGAATATGGACAACCCCGCATGTCCCTATGTAAACGAGGTACTGCTGCACCATCATCTAGATAACAATTTCACGTATAAAGTTTGCTAAAATGGATGTCTCATTCGTGAGCGGAGTCACCCTAATATAATAACATAATATGATAACTTGGCGATTTCATACATGCCTGTATAACAATAATGGTTATGTAAAATACACTGTTTGTAGGCGGGGCTTACTTGTAGACCATGCCGTGGCTGACGATTACGGATCCATCATCAGATGCAGAGGCGAATAAAGGATATTTTCGATGGAAGGTAACCGCCCGAATCGCTCCCTTGTGATACTTCATCGCCTTGTACGGCTTTGTCGATAGATCCATATCGAACCATGACAAACGAGCTTCGTAGCTTCCAGCAATTACATTATCGCCTGTTACACATACAGTATAAGATAAAAAATTAGCACGATTCGCCAAACGTCTCTACAAAAAAAAAACATGATGTCTACTGCCGTTTCTACAAGCCGACCGGACGTTTTAAAAGTAAATATAAAAATTTATTTTACCTTTTGGATGAACAGCGATACTCGATACGTATTTGCAATTGGTTAAAAGCTTCTTTTGCAGTTCTTGCTTAACGAGATTATAAACACGAATGACCGTTTGAGTGGCAACAAACAAATGCGGCCGCGTCGGATGGAATAGGACGCGGGAGATCACGCTGCCAAATTTGCTAAACGGATTCTGCAAATTCGGGATATAAACATAGGTAGAACAGTGTTAAGCGATGCCTTGGATAGCTAGTTTCATTTTATGTTAAGGTACTTTGACTTTACCTGACTTCTGCGAAGCGATAACTGATGAATGATAAGTGCAGTGGTCGACGCACTTCCATAAACAACAGCAATATAATCTCCTTTTGCATGCCAAGACACTTGGGCTACATCCTGATGGTGAGCCACCTTTAAACGTTGACCCTGGCTGCGTAACGTCTGATCGTCTACCAATGACCAGTTCGATGAGCTGTTCTCTACAGGACAATGAAATGAAAAAGTTATGCGTAGAGATTAGTCATTTTTCTCTACGCATTTAGGTATTGTTAATAGTACCTGCTTTAGTAGGGGGCTTCTTGGTCTAAAAATAAAGCTATCGACTTCGAGGGCATGTTTGATTTCATACACGGTTTAATTAGCGTAATTTATATTTCGCAACGTATTTATCAATCACTGTGTTCATAACAAAAGCTCAATGAGCACAGTGATTGAGCGCTCGTTATAATTATTTTCGCTATTCGAAAATTACCTTCAGTAGCTTCAGGCAGAGCGTCTAAGATGGCGTCAGTATTTGACATTATAACCTTGTCACCTACGCCTGGATTAATAAAATAGATAAAAGGCCCCGCAGCCACTGCTAAGAGAGAAATCGCTTTATTAGGGCACCACTGGACACAGCGCACGCTTGACTCAAGCACAATCGTACGTAGACACCGCCCAGTTAATGTTTCCCACACGCGTACTGTGCAATCATCGCTACCTACAAAAGTAACAGCAAGAAAAGCAAAGATAGTCAATGCAAAAGGAATTGTCACTACTGCGGAGACATTGTGGTAAAACGTCATAATAATATTTGTATATTAGGAAATGAAACATCTTGTCAGGTTGTACCTTTGATGAGCTCGAAATTCGCACGCGTACGAATAGTTTGAAGAAACTAACAGTATTTATCGCTTTGTGTACCTACACACCTTATGCCTTAATAGTCTCTTTTCTCTAGATATCTAATCTGAATAACCGCATCCTACCTGACGCAAAGAACTGCCCTAGAGGTCCCATAGACACAGATCGTACTGGTGCCGTGTGTCCTCTATAGACGATCGCACACTGTGCTGGGAACGGATGAAGATCTTTAGGCTTGGGCAGCTGTGGAATCAGATCCTCAGGATTGACGTTCATACGCATCTTTCTCTGTCGGGGACAGAGATACAAATCGAGACAACGTTCGAATCGTTCCTGTACGAAATTCGCGTAACCTGGAACCTGTCGCAATGAAGTGAACTTTCGAGGAATAAAGTTCAGTCGCCGCTCTTCCGGATCCTGATTGTGCCATTCAGCTTCTTCCTCGGGTGTAAAGAGATACTCTTCAGGAGGGTTGTATGACTCCTCGTGGCCTGGTAGTTTAAGTTTTGGTGCAGGAATAAATGACCTTAAGCGACGTACTAGTGCTGGGTCTTCCTCATCCTTCCAGATGTTGTAGTATCTAAGGGATTAATGAATAAAAAAGTGCGCAAATGCATCAAAATAACATTACCTCAGCGGGCATTCAAAAAGATTTGAAGGCCTTTTTTAGATTGAAACCTGCGATGAGGCCCATGAGCTTTGTGATAACTTTTTCCTACACGTCAACAACTCTCATGCCTGAAGCATATCGGGCGACAAATCAATGTTAACATTTAAAGAACATCTACCTGGGTCCTTCGTCTTTGGGTTTCGGCTTCCAGCATTTTGCGTAAATGCCACTTTTAATTAGATGGACCATGCGTCCTACAAGTCGTTTTTCGTGCAGCGAAGGTATGAAGCTCCTCTTAGCTTCTGGAGTTGCTCTGAGCGGATGAATCATAACCTCGTGCGAGTAAAGATCCTCAAACTTAGGATACATCTCCATCGTGGGATCGGGGTTTTGGCCTTTTTGTAGCCTCGAAATAAGATCTATATCGGCATCCGATAACACCACGTTCTGCCCGGTCATGCGATCCTTTACAGTTCGCCTACAGTGAAATGAAACATGCATTAAAATACGACTTCTATATTTGCCTTTTATCAAACACCTCGTGAACTATAAAAAAAAAACTCCGAGACCTTTTTTATTAAAGAAAAAAAAAGCGCACAAGTCAACTTACCAGAACGTTGGGTCGTCCATACGTTTGAGAAAGTAGTCCAGTTGATCTTCGCGAACAGGCTTAAGGACGCGCTTACCACCGACATCGTATCCAATATGTGGGTAATTGTCGTACCATTCAATCGGCACGTTGCCAATAGTGTTGCGTAGATCTTCTTCGTCTGACGAATCCACCGCATACTCATCTTCATCATTTTCACTAATAGTTTGCTTATCTTGGCCCTTACCTGAAGACGGAGCAGCGGCAGATGACGATGATTGAGGTGATGCTGTTCGTTTATGATTAGCCTTTATCCGAGCTTCATGTTTGTCAAGATTTCTGCGTTGCTTGATTTTTGTCACCAGAGACGAAACTCTGCCTCCAGCTATGGGATGAAAATCCTCTTGCTTACCAACATCGAATGATACTGTGACTGTATCATCTTTCGCCTCCTGAGAAATCATTGAGGCATAATAATTAAAGATATCCCAGTGCTCAGATCTTCGCTTATATTCGTATAAATAGCCTCATAGTTCTGGGGAATGTAGCACAGGTAAATAGCAGGTAAGAGAGGCACAAGGGTAGAGCACCACTAGTCAAAATTGGATATACAGGAAAGCACATCCTAGTAAATAAAAACTTGCAGAATATATTATATTTTTTTGCATGCTCAGTAACTCGTATACAGTTGTCTTGTTTAAATGATGTATGCCATGCTATATTACCTGGTCAGCATTTTCCTCAACTTCGGCATCATTTCCCGTCGCAAGGATGTCCTCAATCGAATCGCCCTCGTCTAGTTCCTCTTGGCCGGATTCGTCACTTTGTTTATTGTCTGAATCTGGTTCATTAAGGCCGTTCTCATCTGACATTTCTTCCTCTATATCGATTTCCCCCTCTGATGATGTCGGGTCGTCGCTGTCCTCAAGAACTGATGAGTCATCAGAATCGCTGTCTTCAAATAGGGGCCTCTCCAGAGATAGCTTTACGCTCCGCTGAGAATCTCCAGATGCCAATCTGTCTTTGGTTTTTCCATGTCCCTACGGATAGGAGGAAAATAAACGATATTGAGCCAAGAGTTTAGTACCTTGTAGAAGTGTTTTTCTGTTTTTGTCTTTTTCATGACTATATCATAGAGGTCAAACTTCATATCAATTTAATATCAAAAAAAAAGGTTCATAACACTATCGCAAAATAGAGATTCTACGAGAAACGGCACTGAACGGTACCATGGCATGCCGCGGGTATTGAATTATCATATATACATATGTACTCATGTTGTAAGACCATGCCTTTGATCTAACCTGGTAATTATTTTAATTTAATTATTAACTAATTTTATTAATTTAACCTAGAACAGGTCCTTTCCTTCACGAACTGACAAGTTATAATATGAGTTACACTTAAAAAGTGAAATGCACACGTCACGTTTATCACACAATAAGCATCAAAAGTCAACTTCGCAGCGCTGCTATTACGCAACCTATGTGTAATTTATGGAACATTCTAACTTTACGCGGTAAACTAAGCAGCGTGCAAGCAAAAATGTGTGCTGTAATAAAAACCAGCACGAAAAATTTAATCACCAGACTTATTTCAGTACAGTTGTTTAGCCCACAGATTTTTTTCTGTTTATTCCGCATCAGAGCGTCGTACGTATCAACAATTTAGTCACAATGTTAGAAAAAGCGACGGGAAAAATCTATCGCTAAGTCAATTTACAGTCACAATACCTGTGGGGCAGTCTGTCGTTTGGCGTGCGAGCCCTTATCCGAACTGCGTTTTGTACCCATCGTAGCCTAAACTATTGCTATGTGCGTATTCTAACCTAGACCACTACAATGCGACAATAGACGGACACAAGATGTTACAGAACTGCATTGGCCCCACCAGCAATCGATTCTCACGAGTCCACGTGCCTAGAATGTTTACACGCTAAGATCTGACCTTTGTCAACATTCTCATGCCGGTCGACTCGTCGGAGTTTTGTAAAATTTGTACGCAAAAATTGTACTAATTCGAAGTGTTCGGGCACAACAGCACTGCAGTTTCTTAATAATTAAACAAATCTCATAATTTTCACGCCTTGACCATCATGTGATGCCTGCAGTGGTATCAATATGACCGCTCACATATTCCTAATAGAAACTCTCGTAGGGCCAGACAGTTAATAGACGATAAACCAACTCAGATGTTAGCGCAACAGCAGTAGCTACAATAGCAGTATCATGCAAGTCTTTTCGTTATCATTGAGGGCCAACAGCGCGCCGTGTAGTTCGTAGAGCTTCAGACACTGCGGTGGCAGTGACGAAGCTTTCCATAGAGTTGTTTTAAAGACAGCTGATTCATCTGGCCGTTGTTGACTGTGTGTCGATCCGTGAGCTTCAGGTTAGTATCTTTTTGAAGCCGGTTGAGGCGTGAGCATGAAGCATTGAAGCCTTAACGAACGTCTGATTTTGTAGCGGTATTGCCGTTGTGAGCGCCATGGTAGCTGATATCTTGACGGCGTCGAAATCACCATATGGTCTACCATTATGCGTGGTACTCATTTTTTAGTCAAGATGTTGCATACAATGACGGCTCGAAACTACTACTAGATATAGTGCCTCATATATATATGTATATATATATATATTGTTGTGATGTGGAAATGAGGCACGAATCGTCGTTACTGATTCACATCAGGATGATCATTCCAAGTCATATTCTTCATTGCTTTGAACAGACCTCTCTTCAGCTCTAATAACTCAGAGATAAGCACGTGCGCTTCACTAAACCGTTATTACGACTGGACTCTCGTATCTTAGATGCGGTTCAAGGCTTCGAAGAGGTGGTTTTTGTTGCGGCTTGTAATCATTAGATGATGTATGGCAGGAGCGCATGACTCATTAACAGCCGCCTCCGGTTTTCATTGTTACGCCTAAGATTCTGTTGTTCGTAAACGTTTCGTGGCTATGATAGCGCCAAGAAGGGTATTAAGCGCGCATATGATGTTTTTATTAGAAATGAAAAGATCGGCGCAGAGGGGACAGCTGCATCGCGCCGCGCCGATATAAATCCTTTTACGCTATACCACGAACAACCCTTATTAAAAATTAAACGAAAATGCTACATTCTCTAAAAATAGCTTGCTTGCTCGTAATTTTCCATTGTGCGCAATTCTGCATCATAAGGTTGTTTTCGCATATACCATACGTGGATTTATCATTAATTCAACCTTTTTCTTTTGAGACTTTTGTCACGTTTTGGGATTCAGTCTTGGATTCATCAAAATCTACTCAAAGTGATATTCTTGTCTCCTCAATATGTGGTTTCTATATAACCTCTGAAACAATGTTTAAATGTTTGTAAAAAACAATAACCATAATATTAATTCTCAAACAATAAATAAGTGGGAGCGGAATAGACTTGACTGTACATGCGAGGGGCGCTTGTGTGCGATTGGCATCGTAAGACATTTTAGCAACATGTCAATTCTCCTGTAGCTGTAATGGCCGATCTAGCTATTGACGTTAGCAGAGCAGGCCTTCCCGAATTGTGGCGAAGAGCCAAGACGCAGTACTGCCGTGTTTACGGTAGACCGGTGACTGTCCATTTAGACCCTTTAACTCAGCTGTTGGCTGATCCGCCGATGATTATCGATAGAGTTAAAGATGTAGCTTGGCATCTATGTAAAACACTTCAATCATACACAAGGCGCAGCTGAAAACTACTGAAATAGGGAATAGCAACATCGTGATGCCGATCAGGTTTATTTAAAAATATATCAGTACTTTTAGCAACTGGCTTCGTGTTGACTAGGCAGGTTCATTGTGTTTGAGTTTTCAAGCATGAATCAAGGGTTCGACATGTCGTTGCCGATGTCAGACCACTGTGTGTTTCTAAATTTCATTAGATGCATGAGAATCTATGCTTACTGCATTTGAATTTATTCCTATCCTCTCTGATTATCATATTCAGAAGGAGTCCATACTTAATCTTGTCCTCCGACTTTTCGTGGTGGAATGCAGATCTTTGTTAAAACCCTGACCGGCAGAACAATCACACTTGAAGTCGAACCCAGCGAGACAATTGCAACTGTCAAGGAAAAGATCTGCGACAAGCTACTCACCGGTAAATCTTAATTTTGCACTAACTAGAGGATGCGTTGTATTGGTTTCTTTCCTCGAAGCGCAGGCCGCACCTTATTGGTACACATACCAGCTATCGTTATGGACGCCGATATAAATACAAATGTCTGTGTTATGATTGAAAATGCTCACGGCAGCGCGTTGCGTTGAGCGTTTTTATAATTTTATTTTAGCCAATTTAAGCTTGTATTATTCTTTACTAATAATTTGTTACGGCTTTTCTTTTATTATTACAGAGACTAAAAGGATGAGCTCGGCCAAAGAGATCCGTTCCAAGTTTATCGCATTTTTCCGGGACAAATACGCACATACAGAGGTTCCGTCATCGTGCGTTATTCCACATGACGACCCCACGCTGCTATTCACAAATGCTGGCATGAACCAGTTCAAGCCGATTTTTCTTGGTACTGTTGATCCTTCGACTGAGGCTGCTAAGTGGAAGCGCACTGTCGACACCCAGAAATGTATACGTGCCGGTGGTAAACACAACGACCTTGATGATGTTGGCAAGGACGTATACCATCACACTTTTTTCGAGATGCTTGGAAATTGGTCGTTTGGTGACTACTTCAAAAAAGAGATCTGCGCATGGGCTTGGGAGTTGCTGACGAAAGAATACGGCTTAGCCGAGGATCGCTTATATGTAACTTACTTCGGTGGCAATAAGGACGCCGACCTTGAGCCTGATGAGGAGTGCAAGAACATCTGGAAGGCACTCGGCCTTCCTGAAAATCGCATACTTCCAGGTAATATGAAAGACAATTTTTGGGAAATGGGTGAGACGGGTCCATGCGGGCCGTGCTCGGAGATCCACTACGATCGCCTTGGTGGACGTAATGCCGCCCATCTGGTCAACATGGACGACCCTGATGTGCTCGAGATTTGGAACCTCGTGTTCATTCAGTTCAATCGTGAAAGCGACGGTAAGCTTAAGCCTTTGCCAAAAAAGCACGTCGACACAGGCATGGGCCTCGAACGTCTTGTCTCAGTTATTCAGAACAAGCGTGCCAACTACGACACCGATCTATTCGTGCCTATATTCGAAGCTATCCAAAAGGCTACGGGGGTGCGAGCTTATACGGGTAAGGTTGGCGATGATGATACGGATGGCATTGACATGGCTTATCGCGTACTGGCTGACCACGCACGCACGCTTTCCATCGCCCTCAGCGACGGAGGTCATCCCGATAACGTGGGCCGGGGCTATGTACTACGTCGCATTCTCAGACGTGCCGTTCGTTATGCCACAGAGAAGATGGGAGCTCAGCCGGGTATGTTCGCTGGTTTAGTGCCCGTTGTGGTCGAGATTCTGGGAGACGTTTTCCCGGAATTACGTAAAGATCCCGAAGGAATCATGGAAATCATCAACGAGGAAGAAGCTCAGTTTCTCAAGACTCTGTCGAGAGGTCGTCGCCTGCTGGAAAAATCCATATCGAAGCTGGAAAGAAAAGCTTTGCTGCCGGGAGAAGTGGCATGGCGTTTGTATGATACGTACGGTTTTCCGGTCGATCTTACCCAGTTGATGGTAGAAGAAAAGGGCATCTTCGTTGACATGGTTGCCTACGAAAAAGCCAAACAAGCAGCTCAACTGGCTTCGCAGGGAGGCGGAGATAGAGCTGACGACACGTCCAAGCTGGATGTGCATGCAATCGCTGAGTTACAGGACCAGAAGAAAGTCCCTGCTACTGATGATTCACCTAAATATAACTATTCGTCGAAATATATGGGCAGAGAAGCTCTGTATGAGTTTGAGTCGTGCAAAGGTAAGTAGGACAAAGACTGTTTTGTTAGTATGCACTACTTCTATAATTAGCTAGAGCATATCAGTAATTGGCAATCGGCAGGCAGTTCTACATTTGAATGTTAAGGTTTATTTACTAATATTCTGTGCTAATGGAAAATGACTGTTGCGGTTCAGTACGGCTGTAATTGTTAGATCCAGAAGCTGCGGTCAAAAATCTATGCTGTCTTTATCTCGTATATCTTTCTAGGAAAGGTCGTGGCGATTCGAATGAATAAACAGTTTGTGGACGAAGCCCATTCTGGCAGCCTATGCGGTCTGATTCTAGATCGTACCAGCTTCTATGCAGAGCAGGGAGGCCAAATCTACGATACAGGTTTCATGCAAGCAGTATGCGCCGATGATGATGTGGAGTTTGCCGTCAACGAAGTCCACCTTCAGGGAGGATATGTTGTGCACATCGGCCGTATTGTGGAAGGTATGGTTACATAGCTAAGTATTTTCATGACAAGGAAATAATTCAATTATCCCCTCTTGATTCATCTCTAATGCCGACTACGGTTTTATCGTATTGCTTTCCACTATTATTATTTACTTGATTTATGAATGATGGAATGTCTTCAGTATATAGTTCGCTGCAAAGGTTAGTATGACTTTTAGTGTTACAAAACAGAGTTTCAAAATGGTTACTAGTATAATTATATCCTGCAAATGATGACCAAGCACTCCGACATATCTGCGACTTCTCTGAGCAAAACCTCATCTGGCTTTGGTGATTGCAGGAACTGTAAAGGTTGGCGACGAGTTACGTTTGCTGATTGACGAGATGCGTCGCTTATCAATCATGCGGAACCATACTGGAACCCACGTCCTCAATTACGCCTTGCGCAGGGTCTTGTCGGCAGATGCTGATCAGCGAGGCTCTCTTGTCGCCCCCGAGAGGATGCGATTCGATTTTACCTCGAATCGACCCATGACCGCTGCCGAAATCCGCCAGGCCGAAGAGGCCGCCTCTGAACTAATATGGAAGAATGGCAATGTGTTTGCCAAGGACAGCTCGCTGGCTCAGGCCAAGGCCGTTAAGGTACTTAGCACGTCCTTATTGATTCAGCATTTCCGAGTTTGATTACTATAGCTGCTTTTCGTATAACTCGGTCTTATGCTAGCTTATTAGTTGACACTCGAGCATCCCTGACTCGAAATAAACCATGTAAAGGTGTGCAGAACTTGTAAAAAAGTAACGAAATATATTTATTAGTACATGATTTCAAGGATTTGTTCACACAGCGGTAATAAGCAAAGCGAATAAAAATAAATTGAAAAATTAAAAAAAATAAAGGATATACACTCCTTGTAAGTGCTTCCAGATATCAGGGCTTAGTGTTCCAACCACCTTAACTCTCAGTTAAATGTATGCAACTTGATTTCAGGGGTTGCGTGCGGTGTTCAACGAAACGTATCCAGATCCCGTTCGGGTAGTATCTATCGGAGTACCTGTAGATGAGTTGCTTGCCAATCCGGATCGAGGAGACGCCTTGAACACATCCGTTGAGTTCTGCGGCGGAACCCATCTCGTAAACGTCAGCCATATCGGTTAGTTTTAGAAGAATAGAAAAGTTGCTCTTGTTATTGTTTCTCACCTTTGTTATTTATTCGCTTTCAATGCGTTCATTGTAGCGAAACTATTCAAACTCGGTGTATTTGTAATTAGAAAGAAAAGGCCGTATTCACCAAGAGCGCTTTTGAAGTATTCGTAAATATGTATGTTTGTGATTTTTGCAGCCGATTTCGTAATTTCTCAGGAGGAGGCCATTGCCAAGGGTATTCGGCGAGTTGTCGCTCTTACTGGACTTGAAGCTGCTAAGGCAGTGAAACGTGCTGAGCTATTCGAAGCTAAAGTGAATTGCATTAAAGAAGACCTCTCTAAGAACAAGGTTATTACCTACCAAACGGGCCTCTATTTACCCCCTGTTTAACAATGTAAACAATTGCGCTTCAAAATCTTCATGCTTTCTGGATTTTATGTTAACGATGGCAGTCAGCGTAATTTTGTCATCCCACCCTGAGTCCACAAATCGGTTGTGGAAAAGCCACTTATTGTATTCCAGGGGGTCTGTTTTTTTTATCTTGCTGCTGTTCAGATTCACTCAAACTGAACTTGAAGGTCAATCATTAACATGTTTTCATCTAATAGTCTCTAGCGAAACGAATTGCTGAACTGTCTGAGGAGATTTCGCAGAGCACCATTAGTTGCTGGCGCAAAGACGATTTGCGAAACGAGCTCAAGAAGGTTAAGAAGGTTCTGGACGATCAGGACAAGCAGAACAAGGCCGCTGCCCAAATGGAAGCGCTTGAGGAGATCAAGCGCGAACTAACTGATCGTGGTAAGATACCACACAATCAGAGTTTGCTCCGACGCCATTACTAACTAACAGCCTATTCGCACCAAAAGAGCTAGACAGTGCCAGGACAATGCGGGGCCATTCATATCATACTATTTTACTATTATTTCTGATTTCTATCACATCGTTGTACGCTACATACATTGGTGCCACGTGTTGAGTGCGTGTCTAATATTCGGACTACCATATACATTGGCATTATTATCTGTGTTCTCATGTAGCAAACAAAGTGTTTTAATGGAAGTTTGCAAGGTGGCTCAAAATTATCACCACAGCATATTAGTAACCTGAAATTATGCCATTCCAGGACGCGCGCCACAATTTCTTGTCAAACAGTTGCAGGTCGGCAATAACGCAAAGGCTTTGGACATCGTTTTGAAACAGATCCGTGCACTTGCACCGTCAGCAGCCGCTATGCTGTTCTCTGTCGACGAAGAAAGAGGCCGATTGATTTGTCTATGTGGTGTACCCAAGCAGGTAGTGGCTGACAAGGGGCTATCAGCCGTCGAGTGGGTACGTCAGGTGGCTGAGGTTATCGGTGGCAAGGGCGGTGGCAAGGATGAATCCGCCCAAGCATCAGGCACTAACCCTCACGCCCTTAACAGAGCAATGGAACTGGCCAAGGAGTTCGCGCGCCTGAAGTTCGTCTGAATAAATCTATTGCGCATCGCCACACTTACTGATATGCATCGGCACTTATTGGTGCTGAAAAGGAAAATAGAGACAATCTGTGATCTGTAAGAACCAACTTTCCGAGTATAACGTAACATATTGAAGTCCATGTGAGGTCATAACATAGCGTATCAGATTACGGAGTGTTCCGTTTTTGAAAGAAAATGCAGTACTTTGTGTTTACGTGTGCTAATAGCAATTATGTTGCACAATGGATTTAGCTTCCCATCAACGAATAACGGTGCGTAAGGAGTACCAGTCGCTACTACAAAGTAACGAGGAAATGATCAGTGAGCGAACTGACGGCAGCCTTTATTTCATAGCTTAAAGAAAAAGAAAACTTCTCCAGCTCTGTTTGAACTTGTTTCGTTCTATTTGTTTGCTTTTTTCTATTAAAGTGCACACTACAAAGATTCATGTCCAGACTGAATCCCAGATACAAATGGACATTCCCAACACACATTTTAGATAGCACCACCATATGAATAGTTACAGAAAGGTTCAATATTAATCATCATTTGTTTGCTGAGGGTAAATGAACATTTTCACGCTTACCGTTAATTGACAGTCCTGTAACCTCTACGAAACCCTTGTTCCCGCCAATAGATATCATAACTTAACTAAAGGAGCGATCTAACCTTCTGTAGGTATCCGGTAAGTAAAAACATGACAGGTTATCGAAATGCTTATATATTTATGGCTATTTTGTATGGAGAGAGGAAGTTTAATAAAAACAATATATCCAACGAAGGAATTCGGCGCGTTCTTTACATGGCGTTACAGTTTCTTTTTCTAGATTCTCTAATATATACCCATTATTAAATTATATGATTATAGACTTTAAATATACCCTGCAATACGCCACATGCCCATAATTCTGTTCAAGCTGTTAAAAGGTAATTAAATTTGTCCTCTGCTTTGGGTACTATGGGTGGGCTTTAGACCGTTAACTTGATGTTCTGGCATCTACTGCTAGGATACTAGCACTTTTCGCGGCCTTCTAGCTTTACGAAAGTCGTTAGTGAATGAATAAAGCAATGATTTTTTTGCTTTTGTTTTTTTTTTCTTTAAATACACATTTTTAAAACAAGAAATCGTTTGCTACACAGTTCGCAAACTCCGCTCCGATCCAACATAATTCCTTCTACAACTTTTGCCCCGGAATGAATTTCTACTTTACATATTCACTATGAATGAATATATACTGTTTACAGTATAAATGTGCCTACAAATATCGTCATGTATAAGAATAGACAAGTAGGTAAGATGATGCATAACATGGACTACTATTTTGTTTCTTGGGTGTTAAGAGATGGTCCTGCTTTCCTGACCAATGCAATTATAGACGGGGGGGCTCAGTTGTCAAACGCGTAGAGCTCTAATACGTTGCCAGCCAAGCGGTTTATGAGTTCGACGAGATCTGGCCACGTGTCGTATTTTATTTTATCATGTGTAAGTATAACTTACCTCTAGATAAAACGTTGGATGGAATGCTTAACGGCAATACCGAACGTGAAACTTGAAACATACGGTAAAGGATCTTGCAGATCTTGCAATGGATCTTGCAGAGGAGAACCACAAGTGTCTTGAAACGTTCAGCTCTTTTCAAACATCAAAGGTTTTCAAAGATCAACTCGTTAGTGAAATTCACAGAAATTTCGTGAAATCCTCAGATGCAATTTAACCAGTGGACATAAAGAGCAGTTTAGGCAACGGTAACGGTTCAAGCATTTCGGCATTTGGCTGCGAGGTCTACAATGGGACTGTAGTTACAACTAACGAATAAACTCAAAAGGCGGAGGAAGTTTACAAGTACGGCATAGCGATGGCGCGAAGTTATAATATCACTACTATACTTTCCTTTAAAGTAAAGAGTCATAAGAATACAGTTTTCGTTATGAATCATATTGATATTAATCAGAAAGTATTATTAAAATACTAACTTATATTATTATACGAACCAATCCGTATGTAAATGCATGATGGCTCGCTCCGATTCCAATTGCGCCTGTTCTGTGCGTAAGTTATCGTATTATGATTGACTTTTGACAGGCACTGCATTAAACCTCGAGCCTGACATCCGCTCTGCGAATAAGTATTTATACCTTTCTGAGCATAAACATGTCTTTTCTTGAGCCCTAAATAGAAGCTAGGCCCTAGAATAAAAATTAGGGCATTGTTAGAATTCTATATCATGTCACGTAGAACTTGACATAGCTGCCGAAAAAAATCAGTGAAATATATAATTCACGGCGATACAATGTAGAGGTCAAATATCTAACAAAGATCTGTTAAGAAACTTAGGTCCTAGATAGTCTAAATCCTAAAAACAGATCACTAATAAAATATAAGTAGACCTCTGCAAAAAAAAATATGCGATATCTCTAAGTGTACCTAATGAAACATTGCAGAGTTTGGTATCCAATTGTAAAAAGCCAACCAAATACTTTTGATTCATATGTATGCTAACTGCGAACAATGCTTCGTAGACACACGCCTTTAGGATCAGAGATAACGGCTCGAAACAGAAGAGATCCTAACCTTGCGCAAAACGTCTGATATTCGGACCTAAGTTGGAAGTTGCGCAGTTAAGGTTAGAAAAATACAGCCATATGAACGGTGGATGAAGAAATGCGATGAAGACTGAACACCTTATACAGTCACTGTGAGTTAGAAGGAAGGAAAATTTGATTGACTAAAGATTTTATTTGCCAAATAGCAAAGACCTTTAATGAAACCTGACACGGAAAAGTTCGAAGTTTTATATAGTCGGCTGTGCGAGCCCAGTACTTATTTACGATGGAATTGTTCCAACTGGGTTATAATATTGATCACACATTCAGAATTCTACATTAGCATACTCCAAATCATGATCAAGATTCAATATCATAAGACGGGTCGGCAGTCATTGCCCCAGTCTGCTCAGATGAGCTTACAAAATATTTTGAGAGCAAACGTGGAAAAGCTTTTCAACGTTTGCTGTTATCTGTTTTCTCTATTTTGAATCGTTTTACCGACGATTCACTATCTCGTTCGGAAAAAAAACGACTGGTCAACAAGGTCTGTTGTGTATTTTATAATCATATTTTATACTTAAAATTAAGTATATATAATTATATAAAAGTACTATTAAACATGATACGATTTAGTAAAGTCAAGTCAACTGAAAACAAGCAGTATTCCAGAATTGGCAGTTGCACGTTCATGTGCAGAAGCAGCACGTTATTACGTTTCTGTAAGTTGCCTTTCAAACTTCCTACCGTCGACACTGCTAAGTTTCAGATATGACGCACCCACAGTACTAATTGCACGACCCATTCTCATATACAAATCGTATGTTTATGCTGAGATCGTTCACGTTTTAAGCATTCAAAGACGGACTCTGCGGTGAAGCTCCGATGCGAGAAAAGTTGACGATGGCATCCCTATATCGTATGCTTTCGCGTCAATGTAAACATCTGTTTTTCGTTTAACATACTGAAAATGTGTGTGAAATGTTCCCATCCTCGGTAGCTTTCTTGCAATAAATTACGATTCGAGCGGATATTAGTTCGCAGAAAACGCAGTCGTTATCCTCGTATTACTAAAACTACCAGCCAATAATAATGCACCGTATGATGTGAATGCCCCCTTCTTCCCAGTTCTGACGTACTGTGTCTTCCCAAAACAGCTTCCATGTTTAGTATGCTTCAGCTAATAAAGTAATAAGCACACCCTATGCTTCGTTATTGAGGTCCAGTCAACACGAAAAGAGGTGCAGACAGAGCGGTCCGTCTGCAGTGTGGCGACTTCGGGCCCGCGTTCATGCCCAATGGACAAACGGCTTTCAATGCTAAAATTTTCGCCGGTGCTAATACTTTTCGTAGCGGTCAATAGTGCCGAATGCGTGCCAGTATCCGCCTGTCGTCCTGCCGACGCTACTGCTACTCGTCAATTGCCTTCGTTGACGGACACAATCAGCTGCCTCCGTCTCTTTCTCCGGCGGCTGAACTAAACGAGAACGTTTGCGCGTTCGTACTCGATTATTGGAGACCTTGTCGGGTTCGTCCAGCGAAGACGACAAGCGATTATCAATAGCTGTCGTCGCCGCCACGGCCGAATTGAGCAAATAACAGAATCACCCCTATAAACGCCGCTGGCAACAAAGGCGGCGGCAGCTGCGGCAACAATAAGGCGAGGCGAACATCGGTTAAGTTCCGGTATGGCACCAGCATTGCAAAAACCGGCCACCCTTTGATTCCGAGATAACGAACGCGGTCAGGAGGCGGCATCGCGGAACGGACGTAGCAGGCACGTACTGTAAATTGTCAGTTTGCTGGTTTATCGCTCAGCCAAGCCAGGCTAGCATCTCGTTCGAAATTGTTTCATAACGAAGATGCACATACAAATTTGTCTACACGACAGCAACAAAAGGATCCATCTATCTATTATAGTAGATAAATTCAACGGAGACAGCGCAGGCGCTTGCTGCCACAGATAACATCGTTCTATATATCACCAGAAGCTGCTACACCCGCACGCACCAACAATTCGAGAAGGCGTAAAAGCAGGCCTATTACGAACTAAGCCGCCACTAGAATGGCGAAAAGGCTGGCACAAATTTACCAGACGTATCCGTTGCGAAACACCATATCAATACAATAGAGCCTCATTTACATGAGTGTCTAAGTATGTCCAGTGCGCTGTTCCGTTTGATTGGTGTCGTTGCTATTGGACTGGTTTATTAGCTTACTTGTGACGCATCGTGCAGGATTTGTTTCTGCTGCTGCTGCTGCTGCTGCTGTTGTTGGGACGCCGCATGGGCAGAAGTACAGTTCGGTTAATTGTATAGTGAAGGACTCCCTCCTCCGATGTGGAGACTGCTAAGCTGTTGAAGCGGCGCTAAAAACGGAGTCAAGCTTCAACGCATAGAGGAACGTTGATGATAAGGGCTTGTGAGTCGGTCGCCGTCCCACATCGACTATATCGTAGCAGAGTAAAGAGCTAGAAGTGGATGCGCACACATTGTAGGAGATCGACCGTTCGGCAGAAGATTTGAATCACTCCAATTTTGTATCGGTTGTGGACTACGAAAAGGGTAAAAACAGCAGGCCAACAAACTTCGTTTTTCATCGGCGACTTAATGGGTTTGGTGACGGCTGACTGGTGTGTCGGCTGCGTCACCCGTAGAAGAACAAAAATGCGCTGCTAATTGCTCACACAGATATGGATCGTGAAGATTTTGGCTGGGCAACCTAGCCGGTAACTAAATGATCACCACAAACATAGATTTTATCTCAGTCAAATCGTGCGATAATAGGGAGGGTATGTCAAAGCCGATTTTTTGACTTGGAGCCTAAGCAATCGGTGTCCTGCGCGGCACCTACGATACTTTCAAATGAACTTGGATTTTGTGGCGCAGCTAACCGGATAGCGCTAAACTTTACTTCGATCATTGCACTATTGGAAAGCCGATGAAACTATTAGTACATACTGAACATGTAGCAAGTTGAAATTATCAATAATTCGACCGGTCCAGTTCGACTAGGACGAAGGTGCCGATGGTAGGTACAGGTTGGAGCTGCGCGAGGTCACACCGCGACTCCCGCTATTCAACGAAATTCAGCGACGCTAGAACCAAAGAAGCAGCTTGTGACTTCACTGAATCTGTTTCTTTCTAGACTCCCCCTCTAGATTAGGTGGTTTTTGCAGGTGACAATAGCATATTATAATGAGCTACTACGAACTCGATAATACTAATAATGGAAAACCTGTAATTGCGGAATCTTCTTTCATCCAGGAGTATCTCAGGTTTCGCAATGCCATCATCGTTTTACCGGCTATTTCGAAAAGTAATAACTCATAATATGAATGAATAATAAGAATTTTCCAGGTCAAACTAAGGCGAGCTGTTATCTCGTGAATGTTCTAGTATCTCATCAGTTCGTGTTGCATGTGGATGTTTGTGTGCAGGTCACGTGCGCGTGCATTATGTTGAGGGGTGTCAACAGCAAACCACCAGCCGTGGGTAAACACACATACATATAAGGTAGGTAAGCCATCTGACATTTGTCAACCAATAGAGGATAAGGAAGTGATGACAACAAACAGAAAATGAAGCTACGAGAAGCTTTCTGTAACACTATATTATTATAATTCCATATCAGTCAGTTTGTATATACTGTGATTACTCAGACAGTTTCTTCGGCCGATATCAGACTAGCCTGTAACGTAGCATGACATGAAGATCTGAGTGGTATCACGGTGTCGCTATCGCGAATGTATTGCACGATTAAAGTCGCGCTTAATTCAAATAATTCGCCCACCATTTGGTAATCTAGCATAAATAGAATAAGGCCACCTCAACCGCCAAGAGACATGTTCCCCGTATGTGTATATATATCAGAATAAGTAGTTATTAGGGTGCAGTTCATTGTTAGCGCATGCGCTTCTAATACTTTTGCAGGTTTACGTAGCAACTTTTGCTTCGCTTTAAGCTTGACTGAAAAAGTTCCCCTTGCTAGTTTAACCGCCAGCCGCCTTTGCCGGGCATGCAAGACAGATGGAGCTTTGGCACTGAGGTTGCCGTGTTTATCTCGTTGCCTCAAGCTAGGCCACATTACATGTTTAGCGGGCCAAAGTTGACGTGATGTCCATAGAAAACTCCAACAGCATCAAGCGAGCCTTAACAGAGTATTATTTTGTAGTTTCGAACAGGTTCACTGTTGGAGACAAATTGTTTGTCATTGGGACGACGACATTGGTCGCACCTGCGAATGCCGGCAACGTCGAAAGGGAACAGCCTGTTACAGATACTGTCGTTCTGTCTATGTAATTCATGGTTATATAAACAGTGCCTGCTACTGTTGGGGCCCACGAAGATCTTATGATAGTTTTTTCTATTAACTTCATTCCTTTTACGGGTTAACAAATGAGAATTTTAGCTTCTGCAAGGTCAGAAGTTCGATGCCGAGGAAAAATCAAGAAACATGATACAGGTCGATCGAACTTACAGCAACTTCCTACGGCACATATGCACGGTACTGTTGAAAAACCCTCCTTTAGCTGCCACGCGCAGCTTTTTCAAACAAGGACACGCTCCTTAACCGCAAGTAGCGGCTACTGACATTACAAGTCAAGCATTGCCAGCCATTAATGCAATCGCCAATTTTTGCCACCGTCCCAGTGTGAGTCGTACACGGTTGTTGTTACTTCTACAAATAGAAACGTCCCGAGCAGTTATGTTAAAGATTGATGGCTTGCGATATATTAATTGTCCTTTACATATATTTTTTTAGTTTGTTCACACTCGCAACGGCATCAGATTGCCCTGATGGCTAAGCTATCAAAGCTTTAAAACCTGCGAGGACTAAATCCGTTTGCATCGGTCGACATCACCCGCTACGGCTGTGTGCACCTTTAAGCTGCCTTGTTCAAGCCGCTCAATAGCGAAGGTAAGCGGTGACTTGTGATGCCAGCATTGATGACTTCAATCACCAGCACGGCTTCAATCAGGATTAGTCTCGACGATGTGTGACTCATCACATTCTCAATGTCGCTGTATAGGTATTGTGAAAAACACATGCGATAATACAATGTGTGATGTGGGGTCTCATGCTGCTGAGTGGGAGGAGCCACATAATGCGGTGCTGATGCTGATGATAGTAGTCGTCGTGGTGCCGCCGCAGCAGCAGCAGCAGCAGCAGCAACAGTACCCTGCGTTCTTCTACTATGCTAGCTCCCTTTATGGATTGTACCCCTGGTTACCTCCGATTTTTACTGCACGATTTCCTGCCCCATTCTTCCGACCGGCGAGAGACCCCCATTTTACCATCCAAAACACTGCCCGCTACAGCAGCTTCCTTCGACCATTTGTTCGTACAGCCCCAACAAGTCAACTCGTAAGTCGCATAACACCCGGGCAAACGCGCGCGCGCACACACACACACACACACATACACACACACACACACACACACGCACACACACACATACACACACACACGTAGACGCTTTCAGACGCATCGATAGACTCAAAGACGCACCCAAGTGGACACCCAACAAAGGTGGCTGACAATGCTGGAACTAGACTACGGCCCAGGAGATTTATGTGGCGACCGAACGCTGCTACAAACTATTCGATAGAGAGACAACATTTGTTCGAATGTTACGGTCGTTATTGTCGGCTAACAACGACGCTGAAGCCAGATCAACTCTTGATCGCACAATTTTATATTGAGGTGTATGTAAAAAGTTGAGGTTAGCTCCAACCAGCAGACTATCGAACTGTTGGCGCGAGGCATTGAAGTAGAAATGATCATATAATGAAATTGAAGGCAATCTTATTTCTCTTATTTAAGTGGGTGATGCAACAAGGCCAAACTGAAGTTTTTTGTCGAAAAAGTGTATTATTTATTAGGGAACAAACGCAACAACGAACGATGCCACGCGTGCACAGCTTAATTTTTACCAATGACCAACGCAGATTTGTTCGTCCCTTTCCGTGATGTATCGAACACGAAGTCTGTCGTAGAAGTCCTGTACCCGATATCAATTACTGTCCATAGCCACTCGAATTCACTTGACCCGCTATTTCCTTGTGGGGTATTCTAGTATTTCGAGATGAGGACGCCCACGATAAGTTTTGTAAATACTATACTAAAACATCAGGTAAGCACGCAATGGGAGAAGGTTGTTCACAGATGATCGACTTTTTCCTCAAAGTAAATGCATACAACATTATATCTCGTTCGATGTGACAGAATCAATTTTCCAGGAAATACAGCTTTCTAGCTATTGTGTAGAGCTGAATATAAGGGCTGCCTTAAGAAACCCATTGAGAAGAAACGTCTTCCCCATGGTGAGTTTTTTGACAATCCAGCATAAGAGCGATTATTTTTGAAGATGTCGTTCTCAATCTAATCTGTTTTTTCTTCGCCATGAGAAGCCTACGAACAAAAAATCACTAAAATCGATTTCTAGCCACGTAAAAAAAAATACTACTGATTATTAGTATATAGAAATATGTACAGTCAGCCATTTTAACAGTTAATCTATTATATCTACATCCAGTTATAATACAAACATAGTAGTTGGCTGTTACAAGCGAGTGCGGTAGACGGTCAGATTGCATTACGCGCTTCTTCTAAATGAGGATTGTCTAATATATATATATATATATATATACGCTTTTACAAATCTGTAGCGGAAACCGGTTAAGTTCATTCTAGAAGAAAGTAAAATGTATCGTTTCGAAGGGATCTCGAAAATTAGCGCTCAGTGAATATTGTAGTTCTGAGGACCAGCGAGGTGTCTGGATCCGAGGGATAGAAACACATTTGAAGGGGCTTTTCAAGCAGAACTGGGAGTCGGCCAAAGCTGCCACTCCATATGCAATTATTATATGTACAAAACTATACAATGAAAATGCGGAAACTGGTTAAAAACGCGTGTGCTGTGGAACCTAGGTGCATGCAGGCGTTGATTAGCCTCGGCCGAAGCGGCGACAAGCGAGAGAATGGCGTCGCCCTGGAGAGAAATCGCGTTCAGGAGCACGTTTGAATAAGCTCACAGGTAAGGTGGCAGTAGGAGTATTTACTATGGAAAGATAATCTGCCGAAAATGAAATGATCAGTGCAACCCGGTATTTCGAGTTCCCCAAGAGACTTCTAAGCCGTTGGCATGGCAATCGAAAGGACGCAGTTTGGTTACCTGGTGACAAAGCCATGATCATCTTCAGTCTCCATTACTTCTCCGATTGGGCAAGGAAATATCGGCTTTAACCAGCCTACCATGCCGAGCTAGGCCCGCTTGATTAGGAGGTTCTTTATGCCTTAAAAAGCGCATCTAGTGGGTAAACATATCTTACTATCGATTTAACGTTGAGAAATAGAAAAATCACATAGACGATTAGTAGGTTTAGGGGCTACCACAACGCCAACGGTTCTGTGCAAAAGGTTAAAAGGGAAATCATCATTCTAGCCCATCAACTAGCTCGCTCATAACGGCCTAGCAAGAACTTTGCTTGAAAGTAAAAACATTACTGCTTTATTAACGTGACTTCTCGTTCTAGTGGCCAGTCACAGAATTCCGTAGTTAGAACACAAAATCATCGTAACTTTAGCATGGACTTAGAGCCTGTCCCGGAACGTCAATGACGGAACTTTGCAGCGCGTACATTTTCCAAGGAGATTTCCTTAACCTTCCACCAGCTAAAAGGATTTGAATCCCTTAACTGGAGTTGAATAATTAGCGAACGTGTATTTTGAATTGTGTTCAACAGGAGAACTGCTCTTTATCATTCACAACGTTGGCGACAAAATCATAGTGGAGGTAACAGATGTATTGTCACATTTGTATTACATTTACTTAGTGGTTTTCAGTATATAGAACCGCTCGGTTCATGCGACCTTAAACATCTAGCCACTTTTCTCTACTATCAGTTGATGCCTAAAAGTAATGCCTGAGGTGCGTCACATACATTCACAGTATGGGACATCCTTCGTTCGCCGCATAGGATACGGATGACCGACTGGAGATTATGTTCAGAATTTAAGAACGTGGCAACGATCGCGTGAGTTAGGATATTATGTCGCCAGTTTTTTGGTCCTCAATTGTAAATTTTGATGAGCGACTCGAGAGGACATACGGCGAAGGTTGTCCAGGTTCAAAAAAACTTGGATGTGGTTAACGTGCATTGCCTAGGGAGTAGATCAAAAGCTATGAATTGAGACATTCTAACGTAACAATCAATTTATATACTCAACATTATTGGTATATTGATATAAACAAAATTTCATCCAGGAAAAAACTGCGACGTAAATCGTGCGTATCGGTAATCGTCGATGACTGGTCTAGCTTTTTTTTTTTGTTCTTTTTATGCCAATAGCATACATTGTTGAGCTACTAAATGAATTAGTCAGCCAATGTTTGCTAGAAAATGAACAATCGCGTTTTTCTATTGACTCCAGGATCATTCGTAGTATTCAATTTTTGATAGAGTCTCATAATTTTTTCTGTTATGAACGCTAGAGGCGCCATTTTTTCATGAAATGGTCAGGTGTTGAACGAGCGTTACGCTGAACGAGTATGGTTCAGCTTGTTTGCTGAGGTGCGACTGGCAAGCAAAACCTGTGACGGGTAAGTTCACTTCACGATCGAACGGAATGACATAAAAAATTATTGAAGCTAGTTGTCTTTCTTCCGAAGTTCCAGTTTCTTCATCAATTAGCAAGAATGCGCTCCTGCGACATACATCTGATCTAAATTGGCTTTGACTTTAGACCTGACGAGAAGACTACGAGAAATAGATTTCGACATCAGTATCTTCATGGCACGTCGTCCACCCTGATTCGCACACCTTATGTGTTTCATAACAGATATAGTCTTCACGGATGTACAGGATACTAAGCAGCTTAATAAAAACATTTAAGCAAATCATGAACTAGCTTAACTTTTGACGCACTCGATTGCATCGGTACTAGCTCGTGTGAAAATTATGGATACAAACCTTAAGTAGACAATAGATACTAGAATAGACTGTGAAGATCTACAGAGGTCATCGTTTTTTTGCAGTTAAGGATCAACTTGTTGTCCTAAAGCGGCGTCGCCTTTTGGACTGGAGACGCGCTGATCTAATAAGTAAGTAAAACCATGATACTATTTACTTTATGTATTTTTAGTTTCTTATTCGTCCCGCACGTTTCCGTCCCTCCACAACTATTGCTCTTACTAATCGTCATTTTTACATATATACTAGAGTTCGCCGTTGGTTCTAACCTCTGCTAAGCAAGAACGAAGAAGTAGAAGAATTTCCTTTGCGTGCGTTTATGTCCCTTACCGGTATCGGTACGCATTTGTTTATGCGCCGTTGTCATCTGTGCATGTCCAGTCAACAGACATATCAGCGTAGTCCCCAAATCGATCTCGGCCCCGCTAATGGTCGAGGGCAAGTGACTTCATCATGAAATGTAATGCTCTGTCCATTTGTGCACCGCAGCCTCCATGTGCCCTTATCTAGCTTACCTTTTGTTGGTGTGAATGCCAGAAAACAAACCACTTCAACGGAACTACAGTGGGGATCTTTTTTTCGGTCCGAGTTCTGCTCTTGTCGCCGCCATGGCTGCCGTAGAGGTAGCCCAACCCAAACGTCACTAAGAATTGGTTCGCTTTTCTTCCAAGCGAGCACTTACTGTACCAGGTCCGCAGTTGATTCGTGTCGGTACGAATTCTATTAGCCGCGGCAGACGTGACCATAGAGGCACTCATCATGCAGTCATCGTCAGTACTAGCATGACGGTCACTACAGTATTTATGGCTGTTACAGCGGCGTTCGCTAGCGCAATGGAGGAGGTGCCAGCGAGCAGAAGAGGGGCTCAGCCAACAGTTACGAGGGATCTATGGTAGCTTTTACAGCAGTACAGTCCGACCTAGTTCAGAACGGCAGCCCCGTTGTTAGCGGCGTCGACATCGCTGTTCTCGCACTGCATAATGACATAACAACTCGTTTAACGACGGCATAGAAAAAAACAACGATCCGAGGTGTGTGCTGGCTAGCGGCAGACTGCTTAGGGAAAATTCAGTTTTGCTTTTACTATTACTGCTCAGCGAGCTATAAGTGGTACGCAAGGACTGAATGACTATCTGTTTATTCAAATTCTAGTGCTAGGATGTCCACTAGTTGTAAGGATAAATTAATATTAATACACTCTTCTTATGACACAAGGATTTCTCGATGAGGCCTTAGCTCACCAGCATTAAGCCTTTCAGCCTAGGGGGCTCAGGGTTTCATTTTGTAAATCGTGACGTGATTAGCTAAGAGTGAAAATGTGTGAATATGTTGGCGTGAAATCAATGGCACAGTATGAAGTCGCTGCATTAGATGATGAAAGACTCAAACATCGTCATTAGGCATAGGTACTTCAAAGATTCATTCGATAAATGTGCGGTGTAGAAACCCGCGAAGGTCTGCCTAGGCCACTTAATACACATAGGACATCCCATTTGTTGTCTTTTGAGCACACGTTTCGTTTTCTCGAAATCCCAAATTCAAAATTGGGATTCTAAGCCTTTTTGTAAGCTAAATTTTTTGTCGCCGTAGAATTTGCAAAAGGGCAAATTCTCATGTTGACTGTCCCCGTTGTTGCCAGCAGGTCTGAATGAAGGATATAAACCTTGTCAACTTTGTCACCGTTCTCCGCCAGCGATGTTTGCTGTCCGGATCTGATATTTACCGAGAACACCATCATAATTAGTCGATGGGCTGCTTTGTTAATCGGATCTGCGAGAAATATGTATTGTTTCTTCAAATCTATTTCGAAAGTGGTTTTCCCGCTTAGCCGTTGGCTTACTTCACTCATATATCAGTATAATTAATCCATGAACAATTTTGCAAGGGCCGAAAGTTTCACCTTTGTAGCTTGTAGTGGTTCCTTTTATCACTACACTGGCGTCTGCATTCTGTTTGCCGAGAAACGTCCTCTGTTCACTTCACGATCTAGTACTGCAGATCGATCCTTATTCACCACAGCTCGTCAGCTATTCATTGTATTAGCGGCGCTTCAACCTCCACGCGAAGCTTTTATTGTTGCCTTCACAGTACGTCCTTTATATTATTGTTTGTTGTCGCCACCGCTGCTGCTACCAGCGACGCAAGTGGATTATTCAAAAAAGCGCGTTACTGTTAATGTTTGTTGCGATATGTCGTCAGCACATACATGCATACGGCCGTGTCACCCCGGTGACAAGAAGGCTCTAATAAGGTGACATGGTAGTAGCAATCTGACCGCTCGCTATTTCGCATCTATTCATCTGTTATCGATGCTGCTCGCTCGGTACCTTCATTTCAGTATCCCGACCACGTAATACAGCCTAGCTTTTACGCCATCAGCCGAAACCGTTACTTATTGGCCCTCTGACTGCTTGCAATGATGGCTTATTATTCGTTGCGGCATCGTGTCGCTTGGCTAGCAAACAGCCTGCTGAAGAGCCAGTTACGTACGAACTTGACGCCGTCCGACTGCCTCAACGAAACCAACGTAACACACGTCCAGACGTTCACAACGCCGACTGCCGCAGCAGTAGAGAAACCGTTGTTACTGTCATCGAAACAGGACGGGGTGCAGCCGGACGCGAGTAAGTCGTCTACTATTAACGGACAATCAAATGAAATCGTTATTACAACTTTGTATATGCATATATTACATTACAGATGGTAGCAGACAACAATGAAGCAGCCTTGTAAATGACGCGCGATCTGCTGACTATGGATCGGCGGCCAGTTCTATGATGACAGCTGTTATTCTTCTTTCCGCGGTTGTCATGTACCGCAAAAGCCGTCAAATAGAATTACCTCATTTTCGGGCGGGCGGGCGGGGGGTCGCGGGCCGCAGACGCCACTAGAACGGCGAGGAAACGCGAGAGCTTGCCATGGCTAGAGGACGAGTGAACCGATACACGCGTGTTTAACGTGATAATGCTAGTTTAAGTGTAAGTAATTTAGAGACCGGACCGTGCGACGAGAAACTTGTGGAGTCTCCGAATAGCACTAGTCTGTCGAAGGGGTATCAAATGGTTTTCTAGCTCTATGGTATATCAATTGCGTCGGGTAGGAAGCAATGTTATTTTGAGGCCAAGATGTGGCAGCAGTAGATGGGCTAAAACCATTGGGATGCGCCCATTTAAACATGGTATAGATCGTTTTGAATTTGGGCGCAATTCATAGGAAAATTCGCTTATTACGGTTTCTCATAATATACCGGTGTTACCTAGTCTCAAAAAAGCTGTGCTGCCTACGTGTTATCCAAGGTGCACTATTGGGGATGACGGTTTAGTTCTGGAGATTTGCATGTAAAATATGCTTCCCCCAGGTGGCCGATACAAAAAAAAAGCTGACAATATATCGCGAAGTTTGAGCGGGATAAACACGTAAGTAGTTACCATGTCATCAAGGAACTAGATATCTAGAACAAAAGGCTTTCATCCATTTGAAGAGAGCTGGTTACGAACAAAAGCTCGACGTTCGGGTGCTAGACGAATTAATGCAAGATCATTTACTCAATCGTATTTACGCCTGCGGAACTTTACAGGAACATTACGAAATCGAGCGCTCCCTCTCTGAAGCGGTCGATTACGAGCGATAAGAAACCTCACAAACGACAATCAAATGTTTGTAGCAAAGCCCGGACTGACGTCAACGACAGTGATGCGATGTGTGCGATATAGCGAGGTTCGGAAGGAATCGTAGCTGCTCCCGCCTACCAAAACGGATGATTCAGACGTTCACGGTCTGAACAACTAATCAGATTATAGAAAATAGAGAAAAATGGTAAACAAAGGGCGCCATCTTTCACCAGAGAAAAATTCTGAGAACTGAATAACATAATGCATCTGTATATGATGCCATTAAATCAAAATCATCTACTTCATTCTCTTTAGAATTGTTTTAATGGCGCTTCCTTTGTTTGGACGAAGAGATGCAAAGGTCATTTGTTACGCCTAGAAATTCTACAGTGACGGGATACGTGTAGCGTAGGGCCGTCGATCGAAATGGCGCATATTAGTTTGCTTCTATTGTTTTCTAATGTAGAAGGTTGGTGTTTTTGTAAATAAACCGCGTGAATTATCAATAAGATTTGTTCTGGTCTGTTATTACGACAGTTTTTAGATGTCAGTATTAGTGGCCTTTTTAGTTTGCTCTCGCAAATTACCTAGTGTGTCGTCATCTGATAGACCCTAGAAGACTCGTCGATATCGAACGAAAACGTGTGAGGCAGACAACCAACAAACAAACGATCTCTTCTTGTCAACAACCGAGAATCTCATTAGTAAATCGCATACAAACAAACAGAGTCCCATAGTTACCGCGAGCTCAAATACTCAAAGGTAATAAGGTCGACGAATGCTTATATATACATATATAGAACAATAAAAGTTTATCAGTAAGATGCAGCGCGAACGAATCGATAACGAGATGGAAAGAAAAATAGTTTTTAATGTGTTTTATTCAATTAACGCTAACGTAATACGCCATTTTCACTATGTGCACAATAGTAGAACAGGTAACTATTAAATAGGACCAACGAGCGATACCAGCGAAGCTGCCAGGAGTGGAGCGGGGCGCATTTTCCTAACAATCCAACTTTGGTTTCTGCTTTAATTTCAATTAGAACGTAAATTTTTCATGTACGCAAAGTTGGCCACGAAACGTTTGCTCGTTGATGGTCGACGTTCGTTGCCGTCAGAAATATAAATAGGTAATAAGCGTACATACCATACCGATCGATAAAAAAAAAATCTAAAATTACATTTTTCAAAAGTCATCCGAATTCAAAAGAGCTCTGTGAATTTGAAACAGTGTGTAATGCTTATGTGATATTGTAAAGGTAGCGGTACAAGGGTGCGGGTGGCTCGATTGCTCGTAAAGCTCTAATTGTATCGTAACCAGTCTGTATAGATCCAGGCAGCTCCTATGGTAATGTACAGTTGTTATACAGCTGTTCCAAATGCGTCCTAATTTTGATACCTATCTAACGAGCAGATCACGGTATTGTTTATTAGGATCGACTTTCGAATACGAACAAAAAACTGGTATTAACAAGTATTCGTTTGTCTTACATAAGATCGCGCCCATGGCCAAACGAGTCGCACTATGTTGGCTTCATCCGTTAATTGAAGTTGGAAGTTGAAAGATTTACTTTTAGTAATAGACGTACATTTTTGGTCACAGGAACTAGGCTTTGCATTCAACTCTACGTCGTCATACTAATGAGTACGTTTTTTCTTAATGCTATGATACCATCCCGACAGCTTGTAGGGGACAGATTCTACTAATTTCTGGGCACTATGGTAAATCCCGTATACGGCCCTACGCTGCTAAAATCAGACTGCAATGCGGGTAATTTTATGTTCAAGTAGGAAAACACATAGGACAAAATCAGGTCGAGAGGAACTTAAGAACCACCGACCACGAGGACGACGAATCCTTTTATTTTCATTATACAAACTGTCGGCTTGTTTGAATTCTATTACTATTGAATCTGTTATAATGGCCATCTTTTTCAAGCAAAGTTCTAAGGTTAACCACCCATTTTTCAAACTGCGAATGTATTATGAAGCCGCAAATGAATCTGCCCGCTGAAGGTCCAACGATGAAGGTTCTCGACTAAATCGGTTGGCCATAAGAAACCACAAGACATCTTCGTTTGTGTTTAGTCGGTTAATCCTGTCTCGTCACGATCTTGTTTATACTTCGACCCCTTGTTATAGCTATAACATACATTTTTTACGTTCGACACCGTGCTATTGGGCGCGCTACCATGTTGGCTTTCCGTCTTTTCCCTACGTTGGCTGGAGTGGTTATTAGAAACAACGATGATGATAACCGTGGTTCGCAGTGGTAACAGATGAAGCGTAATGTCCACCCAGACAATGTCTGGACAAACAGGCAGACACAGTCATAGACTGACGCACACGCCCAAATACACACAAACCATTGCTAGTGACAGAGGCTCACCACAGAAACATGTGGCCGGCTAACTAGTAGCCGCGACCATCAACACCGCAAAGGCCAGCGATGAAACGGCATCTCGACCCGGCTCACAACAAGGCATTCGATGTTCCGTTCCTTAAAGCATTTTGCTTTTTGTCAGACTGCTCTTCAACTACTCTTTCAACATCGTCGGCCGCACCAGTACCGACATTAACAGCAACAGTTGCCGCCGTAATTTTGCTAGTAGCAGTCGCAGCAAAAGCGACAGTCGTTTTCGACTGTCGTCTGCGAGAAAACCCATCGCTTGTTTCGTCCCCTCCAATGATAACTCTATTAGTAGCTCCTGCTGGTTTTCGCTATGGTGCGTCGATCTCGCCGACAACCGGTTACCATCCACGCACCGCACCGCACCGCACCGCACCGCACCGAATCACATAGCTTCGACAAGCGACACTAAATCACATATGGGGTCTCTGAATTGGCGACGGTGCCTCGACAAATGACCAGTGACACGGACAGCTATGCGATATGATAGTATCCGCTGGGCACTAAGCAGCGGCAACGGCAGTAACCGTAGTCCTGCAATCATACACACATACATCCGCGCGTCCAATCAGAAACACCGTGTCACAAAGTGGACATCATCAAGTAAAGTGGATACAAATCGTCGACAAAACAACAACACGCGAGACGACACGGAACGAAAAACTTGCGATAGAAAAGACGACAGCAACAACATCCCACTGTGGTGATTGTACCGTTTTCGGTGCTTACAGCCGTTCCGTCCCGAAGCAGCAGCGTCTGTGCCACAACCGCCGTCGCTAAGTGACGTCTGTAGGTGACCGCGTTCACTATGAGTGTTCGCGGCGACGGTACCGCCCTGGCGGTCCCGCGTAGTCGCAAACCCCAGCTAACTACCTCCGTACCCCAAAGTTAGCGAGGAAAAGTGGCTTCGATGGCAACCACTGGAGACAGGTTAGTTTTGCTGTCGTCTTATCTTCGTACGTTTTGATGAACCCAACGATGAGGTAGCTTGTTATGGGAGATGCGGCAGCACGATGAGTATGACCGCGTAAGCGTGTGTCTGTGAAGGTTAGCCATTTGAGGTCATTGCGTGGCATCAGTACTCACAAACTTCTGCATTTGTGAAGAAGCGATTGGTTGCCGGTGGAATGTCGAGGGGCGTACGGGAAAGAGCTCAAAGGGGCACACACAATCAGTGGAGAAGTGATCACTTTACCGCCGTTGGTTAGTGGCGATATTAGGTGAGAAAAACTATTTTGAACAGACCGCTTTCTACGTTGACGACCTACGTCGGTTAAACGTAGCCAATATACCAATAATAAGCTGAGACAAAGTTGATGCGACCAAAATTCGAAAGGGGTTCTCGTTAACATACTTTGCTAATTACCCGAATTACAGAATGAGCTGTATTATAGAAAGTGACGCTCATTGAATCTATACCCTCGTAGATGGTCTTCTCAATGAAAAAATAATTAGCAGTGATAATAATGTTGTTGGATATGCACATATCAGCCCCGTCTAACTCTGGCAACATAGACTCCCGAAGAATCAGTTATTCTAGAAGTTCATAAAAACAAGCTCAGACCTTCGATACAAACTAGGTAATATTTCATAACAACTCAATCTAGCGAATCTTCATCGGTCCTACCGTCCAGCAGTGGCATTAGGGAATACGTCTTCTGTACGACGTCATGCGAATATCAGAGACTATGCATGTATGCACCGCTCAGGAGAAAATGGCCGCTGTCCAGTAGGCAGAACTGGTCAGATCGCTTATTTAATTT